CAAGGTCGAATGACAATCACCGGTCGCCTCTCGCCTTCAGATCGTGCATAATTTTAGTAAAATGTAACCGTTATGCTGGTTGATAAAAAATATGCGTTATAACAATACTAACAGTTTCCTGTGACTTTACTCAGGTGCATGAGTATGTTAAGCATTCTATATATATATATATATATATATATATATATATATATATATATATATATATATATATATATATATATATATATATATATATATATATATATATATATATATATATATATATATATATATATATATATATATATATATATATATATATTTTTTTTATACAACTTAGAATGGCAAACAAGCTGACGGCCACCTGATGGAAAGTGGTAACCGTCGCCTATAGACATGAGCAGTACCATGGACATAACAAAGTATACTGTTTCGCCCATGATACCCCCATGCGTTGCCATTCCTGAGGACTCAAATGTTATTCCTCTGAACCCTGTAAATTCACGCCATATTCTACCCTTCAAAGCGAAACACAGCCATGCAAACATAACTGCTTCACGATAGAAACACGAATGGGCCAGAGGTACCCAAGCAATCGACTTTTGTACAAAGTGGTACTGGTGAACATTCATTCAGGGAGAAAAGGGATTGTTAGTAATGGGGTCATTGCCCCATTGCCAGCAATATACTCTATCAGGTCGCCTCCCTCGCGGTTCCGTCTGGAAACCATTGTGATTGATTTATTATTGGTTTATATTTTCATCCTCACCTACATATATCCCTATTGGTGTCTCCCAGTGTATACCGATAGCCCGATTACTGCCTGTAAACTGAACTGGTTATCACAGAATACACTGTGCCGCCCATTATACGAATGCAACGTTTAATAAATGAAATTCTTGGATTGTGCTCAGAGGAATTGTTCAATATGATGCCCACAGCCACATTCTACCATCGTACGGCTCGCCATCGACAGGGAGTTCATCCTCATGTCCTACAGCCTCAATGGTCGCGTACTGCGCGGTTTCAGAGATGTTTCCTCCCACGAACACTCAGGTTGTGGAATCAGCTCCCTGCCGATGTTTTTCCAAGAGACTACAGCATGGGGTTCTTCAAAAGGGGGGTAAAGAGTTTTCTTCAGGGTCGGCAACGCGCGCGTAATACCTCTGGTATTGCAGGTGTTCATAGGCTACGGTAACCACTTACCATCAGGTGGGCCGTATGCTTGATTGCCACATCAGTGGTATATAAAAAAAATTCCAAACTTATATATTATTTTCCTTTAGCACATTTGAAACTGTTGATGTAAACAAGTGCGGGTTCGATGCCCGACTGTCCTGCATACAAAGCAGCTAGCTTGGACGACGTGTAAGACACAAGGCATAAAACTGAATACCAAGAGGCTATCGTGGCACATCACCACTGTCTGTTCGTTAGAGAGAATCGACGTCTGAAAGACTAGTAATATCCCGCGGCTCCGTCCGCAAGAATTAGTACATCAAGCATTCTATCTGTTGTGTTAGGAGAAATTAACCGTGTTTGGGAAGGGATTGTTAGTAATGCGGAGTACTAATGCCATGGTCCTCCACGTATTCCCCCTGGAGATCAACGTGCTGAATTGTAGGTGTGTTTCTTTTTATGGGTGAAAATGGCATGGTAACCCCGCCTGCGCTAACGGGATACGCTGGCAGAGCACCAGTGAAGGGTGATAGATGAGAATAAAAACAGGCCAGTTAGCCCATCATGATGAATTCATCAGGAATTAACCATGATAGTTTCCAGGGGGAACCGCGAGGAGGTCGACCTGGTTGGATGATGTGCACATGTCGTGCTGTATTAAAAATATACTTTCTTCATTTCACAAACAATTTTTTTTTTATACAACTTAGAATGGCAAACAAGCTGACGGCCCACTTGATGGAAAGTGGTAACCGTCGCTTATAGACATGAGCAGTACCGTGGACATAACAGAGTATACTGTTTCGCCCATGATACCCCCCATGCGTTGCCATTCCTGAGGACTCGGGTATTATTCCTCTGTACCTAGTAAATTCACGCCATATCCCACCCTTCAAACCAAAACACAGCCATGCAAACACAACTGCTTCACGGTAGAAACACGAATGGGACAGAGGTACCTAAGCAATCGACTTTTGTACAAAGTCTCCCTCTGGTAAAAGCATGCATATATAAAACAAAATCATGCATTTTTATTATCACGGATATAGGGTTCCATTAATAAAGTTCTAAAAAAGTGCGGCCCCTTCCTTCACTCCGCCACTAGGAGTCGCTTGCCCCTTGCCCGCTAAAGGCTGCTGACCCCATGCATAAAGCACTAAGCGTCTAGAATTTACCTTGCATTCTAAAATAACCTTTAGAAGTAGGTAGGTACATTCACTTTCTTTATGCAGTGTGCATTGTTCGATATGCTTATTATATATATATATATATATATATATATATATATATATATATATATATATATATATATATATATATATATATATATATATATACATTATGTTTTTTTTAATGGATGATAATGCTATCGGTATACACCGGCGGGGCACCAGAGAAGGATGATAGGTGAGGATGAAGTAGGCCAGTTAGCCCATCGTAACGAATTCAACAAGAATTGTTCACGATGGTTTCCAGGGGGAACCACGTGGAGGACGACCTAATAGGGCATATTGCTAGCAATGGGGCTGTCAAACTCCATTGCTTACAATCCCTTTCCCCCCAGCGTATACTGTTAGCACAAACGGTGTTACCATTCTATTATCATTCATTAAAAAAAAAAATAGTGACCTCAAAATTCCAAAACAAAACCCCGTACCTTGTCTGTGGTTTGTAAATTACAAATTGAAACATTCAAATCCGGTCAGACCTGTCTGCTGGCATTGTGCAACACCTTTTACCAACTGGTTGTTTGCGTCACAGCAGCATGCAATTGAACGCTAGATTTACACGTCAGTGTTATAATATTTGACGATTTATAAAAATAACTGCTCGAATCCGATTTGGACAGTATCCATTAAAAAAAAAAATGAAACATTTTTATTTATTAATTTACACTTTATTGAACCATTTATAAGTAAATAACGAATACAGTTTTAATTTTAATGAAAAATTGTACATAAGACAGCTTTATTGCTAAGCAATCTCTTCGTATCAACGTTTATGGGTTTTTTTTTTGTTTTTTTTAATGGCTGATAATGGAATACCGATGTATAGTGTATACCGATAGCGAAGGCGGGGTTACCATTCCAATTGTAACGCATTAAAAAAAAACTTCTCATACAAACATGACACAAAGAAATTAAAAACTAATAATATGAAACATGCAGTGAATTTACTGGGTACAGAGGAATAACACCTGAGTCCTCAGGAGTGGCAACGAATGAGGGGTATCATGGGCGAAACAGTATAGAATAGAATAGAATAGAATAGAAAATCATTTATTCAAATAAACTTACATTGAAGCACTTTTGAATAGTCATTACATTTTTTTTAATCTATCGCTCGTTCGGAAAGCTGTCTCATCACAAGAAGAACGAGCAAGAAACTTGCGTGTTGCTCTTTTATACTCTGTTATGTCCACGGTACTGCTCATGTCTATAGGCGACGGTTACCACTTTCCATCAGTGGGTCGTCAGCTTGTTTGACGTTCTAAGTTGCATAAAAAAAAAGAAGTCGCGCGTAAAACCTGGTATTTTTTTTATGGGTGAAAATGGTGTGGTAACAGTAACTCCGCCTGCGCTAATGGGATACCCTGGCAGGGCACCAGTGAAAGGTGATAGATGAGAATGAAAACAGGCCAGTTAGCCCATCATGATGAATTCATCAGGAATTAACCATGATAGTTTCCAGGGAGAACCGCGAGGAGGTCGACCTGGTTGGGTATATTGCTAGCAATGGGATTCTCAGTCTCCATTACTAACAATCCCTTTCCCGCCCAACCTATATTATTATATATAGGTATTATTATAACAAAATGTTAGGTTGTTGAACTCGCAAAGTTCAAATATTAAAAAGTTAAACAAATACCAAGAATAATACAGGAAAAGATTTATAAAAATACCTCTTTTTTTTTTTAAATGGCTTCCACCGTAGGGGCTATGGTGATTTTCTGCTAATGTTTTTTTTTTTAATGGATAATAATGGAATGGTAACCTCTTCCGCGTTAACGGTATATGTTGGTTGGGCACCAGTGAGGGATGATATTTCTATCGAAAGCATAATTAATGTAGACTTCAAAAATATTCCACAATGCAATAAGTATTTGACATATCATTAATTATAACAATAATTACTAATTAATCGATTCGGTAATTCAGTTTTGAAGTCTAATTAACTGGTTCTTGTCATAATTGCAGTTGGTTTTTGTTTTTCTGTGGGACACAATCTTTAAAACCTGTAAAAATGAATGCAGTTTCAGCTGAGAAGAACGGGCAAGAAACACAGCTGTTGCTTTTTTTTTATGAAACTTACGAGTATAATGGCAAACAAGCTGACGTCTCTCTGATGGAAATATATATATATATATATATATATATATATATATATATATATATATATATATATATATATATATATATACCCCGCATGCGTTAATTATTGAGGACTCAGGTGTTAATATTCCTCTGTACCCAGTAAATTCACGACATATCCCACTCTTTAAACCGAAATACAGCCATGCAAACAACTGCTTCACGGTAGAAACACGAATGGGACAGAGGTGCCCAAGCAAACGACTTTTGTACAAACTCTCCCTCTGGTAAATGGGTTGTATTGTATTGTAAAAATCTTCATTGTACATAAGTCAGATTAAATACTAGTAAATGATTTAGTATACAATGGCGGACTTATCCCATAAAGGGATCTCTTACAGTCAACCTTTGAGAAGCTGAAAGAAAACTGTAGAATGTATAAGGGTAATAACCGTACAATTAAAGATAAACTAAATAATACCCAGTAAAAAAAAAAAATTGAATATATAACACAATAAAACAAAAAAATGTAAATTAATATTTAAAAATCTTTATTATTAATTCATGTATCTAATAAAACTAACGTAAATATAAAATCTCTTTTTATTATTTTTTTTTAATGACTATTTTAAGTACATTTCGTTATACGCTATTGATTACCATAGATCGTAGAACTGGCTTTGTATATCTAAAATTATATATTTTAGTATAATATATATATAATAACCATATTTACAACATAATAATATAGCGAAATAGTATAAAACAAAGTCGCTGTCGCTGTCTGTCCATCCCTATATACGCTTAAATCTTTAAAACTACGCAACGGATTTTGAAGCGGTTTTTTTAATAGATAGAGTGATTCATATATTTATATGTATAATATATATATAATATTGTAGAGGAACACTGATAATTTTAGAGGTTTCTAATGTGATGTGATGTAATGTACACCCGTGCGAAGCCGGGGCGGGTCGCTAGAAAAAAAAAAACAAATTAGAAAACCAATTTTCGTTATGTACCTACCTATAGTAGAGTCGAAAAAAACCTCTGATTAAAGTAAAAGCTTTTTTTTTAACAACAATAATGTTAAAAAAATCTCCAATTATTTGCTTTTACAGCCATTTGACGTAAGTAGATACTATTTTGGATGGAGAAGCATACAGGCTACTTCATATCTCGGTCACGCGGACAAAGTCGCGGGTAAATATTGTTATCATTAAATTACGTACGCGGTGTATTCGAAAATAATCGATTTATATGTAATTAATTTGATTACAGCGTAATCTATACGTAATACAGTACGCGGAACCCTACTTTGTCACAATAGATATATATCTAAGTATAATTTATCATTGTTTTATTATATTATTATCGTGTAATATGATAACGACATGTCATGATTTACAAATTAAAAACTAATAACAATTTTTATTTTTTTATCATCAGTGAGGGATGAATAATGATTTTAAACATAAATTTTTTTATACCGCAGATATAATAATGGGAACTAGTGGCCAGTAACTCTGCCTGGTCTGCATTAGCATCGATGCGAGTTTTTAAAGACGTTACGTTCGAAATACAATATTTATATTGTCAATTACCATAGACAAATTACATAAGTACTACATGTATTAGTATCTAGTTGTTTTTTAAAAAAAGAACAAACGTTTAAAAATTTTACAAAATCGGAATCTAGATAAAGAATGTTGCTTTGTCTATACGCCATTATAGTACTCATATAATGGAATTCCTCCATCTAAGGTAAGGAACGCAGTTAAAAACTTGATAGTTGAGGTAATTAATACAACCGATATTATAATACGATCAAATATGGCGGACATATTTGCTAATGGGTGTGATTTTACCGAATTGCGTATCTTAATGTGTTTTATTAACATTTTATAAAATAAAAATGTGTTAAAAATTAAAATCGTCGTGTAGTTCCGGTATAGAATGGGCCACCCTTTCCTTGTCGAAGTGTCGTAAGAGGCGACTAAGAAAACTTAACGGACGGAGGATGGTCAGTAGCACCCCTCGGGGGGTAAGGGATTGTTAGTAATGCGGATTACGACTCCCATTGCTAACAATATACCCTTTTTTTCCATTATCATCCATTATAAACACAGCAGCGCCCCTCTTTAAACATCACCAAGGCCTAATTGCGATTGGTAACCCGCATACCAAGCGTGGCAACTACTAGCAAAACCATATTTATAGGATTTTTAAATTCCAAAAATAATATATATAGCCCATGTTACTCATTGCTAATGTACCTTTCTACAGGTGAAAGAATTTTTAAAATTGGTCGAGTAGTTTTTGAGTTTATCCATTAAGTACAAAACAAACAAATCTTTGAGTCCCATTTCTATCGGAGGTTAAACAATATGACATTATAAAATACTTGTTATATTCGATTTAGTCGATTGGCAATGTAATAAGTTATTAAAAGTCTTTCTATATAAAAAAAAAACAGGCGGGAAAAGTCACAGAATAGAAATGGTGAAATATAACTAATAGCTGCTATTTAGATACTTTAGTAACATAAAATTTCTTATATTTTAAATTCAATAATTATTTGACATTACCAGTATAAACAAGTTTGTCATTGAATAAAATTTCATTTGCAAAATATACATTCGAAATACATTATTTAAAATTTAAATTGTCAGTGGTCATAAACAAATTACATAGGCATTTCATTATTAAAAAAAAAAGAACGAATACTTAAATTTTTTACATAATTAGAATCTAGATAAATAAATTAACTCGACAATAATAAATATCATTTAAAAATTAACAAAATCCAATTCACAATTAATGAATGACAATTACAAATCGTGTAACATAGATAAAGTTTTTAAACGTACAAAAATTAAAAGTAAAAAATGCAATCTAATTGCTCAACTTTCCCTCCTTTTTTGTTAATAATTTAAAAATAAATACATTTTCTGGAATGTACTTTTTATGTTACAGAGAACAAATTCCTTTTATCGACTTTTTTTTATATAAATTTTTAACGATCAATTTCAACTTCTTTTACAAAAAAACAAATCTTATTCTAAATTGTATAATTTGCCAAAACATTGTATTAAGTAGTATCTCACTATAAAGGATTAAATGCAAACGGTAAGCACCCTTTGAAGACAGTGTTTTACAATTGAACATTTCACCGAAGGAACATGGGGCAAGAAACGTTATACTAAGAGATGGCATTTCGAGTCTCCCCTAAGAACAAGGAATTACATGGAAGAAATGATAAAATAAAGACTGTAAATAATACGGTTGCCTCCTTTCTTCTTATGCAAATATACTTAGTAAAAAGAGAACGAAAGATACACCATCAGTTGCTATTTTTCTCAATTCATAGCCGGCTAGTGTATAGAAAATGTTTAATATGCCAATTATCTGTCAATGACAAATTTTACATTACTAGATTATATATTCGACACAGTTTATGTAGAAAGTACGCAAGCAGGTTGTTGATTTTGGTAGGGTTATACGACCGTATAACATTTTATATTAATTCCTTCTATGTAATTCCTTGTTCTTAGTCTCCCATACTGACACGGCGCGGCCAGTTGTCGAATTAGTATAGAAAACAATTTTTTCGTTTTTCAATTTTAAATTCCCGATATTTCTGTCCGAATACGTTCTATAGCATGGATAGATTATTAGTTTTATGTACAGTAACAATTCCGACTTGTTACTATATAACTATTTATATATTTCTAAATGCCAGTTCTACGATATTACTAAACAGTCGACCACAGAGTAGGTGTACATAGGTTTTTTTTTATAACATAGAGGGACAAACAAGCATGGACCTTACTTGATGGTGGCTAAATTACAAGTAGTTTACTTTTTCATCGTTACAGAGTAAATAACTGTTAAGATAATTTTAAAATAATGTTATAACTGAAGATCGAACTGTACAGCTTCGTTCCTTTGCCTTTCTAATTGTGGACAAATTAATACTACTTCTAGTAGAACATTAGAATCTAGAAAAATGACTATTCAAAAATGCTTATGCTTAAATTTAACTTTACTCGAATAAAAATATATATTTCTCAATACAGTCGGCACAATAATAACAATTTAAACAGAAAGTTTTTTTAAAAATATTGCTTTACAATTTTTTTTTGTAACAAAAATTTCTTAGTCTTTTACATTAAAATTTTCATACATACAATGTTTCAATACAAACTAATCAAAAAGTAAACAAACAAACACTCGCCTCGATCATGCGACAGTCTGCTGATGTCCATCAGTAGCACAAATCGAACATCAATCAATCGATTGGACGTTTCGATTGATTACTAAACCATTGTGAGAGTGTTCCTGTGGTTATTACAACATAGCTTGGTTACCTTTTCATTAAATTCTATTGAAACAAAATAATATTTTAACAGAATGTGTTTTACAATATATTGATGGCTTTTGGTTTAGGCGACAAATGGAGGGCGAAGGATGGGCAACGGCGTCTCTTTTAAAACATCTCCAAAGCCTAACAGCGGTTGCCAATCCGCGTGGCAACTACTGGCAAACCCGTCCAAGTCCAGCAGTGGACAATTAAAGGCTGGTATGATGATGATATACGTATATATTAGAACCTTAGAACCTTCATAAGAACTTTTTTAGACTTCAATGAATATTGGAAAAGAAAATTAGTCGAATCGGCCTAGTAGTTCTCGATTTGTGCAGTTTTTTTTATACAACTTAGAATGGCAAACAAGTTGACGGCCCACCTGATGGAAAGTGGTAACCGTCGCCTATAGACATGAGCAGTACCATGGACATAACAGAGCATACTGTTTCACCCATAGCAAAGCTTGGGGGGTATCATCCCCCATGCGTTGCTATTCCTGAGGACTCAGGTGTTATTCCTCTGTACTCAGTAAATTCACGCTATATCCCACCCTTCAAACCAAAACACAGCCATGCAAACACAACTGCTTTACGGTTGAAACAGGAATTGGACAGAGGTACCCAAGCAATCGACTTTTGTACAAAGTCTCCCTCTGGTATTTATTTCTATTTTTATAAATAGATAGATTAGTTCCGTCTATTTGGCCACTTGGACGCTAATGGCGCTGCATTTTGGAAATAAGCGCATCTACTTAGTGTTTACAGTTATAGAGAATCGATCCTTTGAATTCGTGACCGAACTATTAACTATCTTATTAATTTGTCACATTTATGAACTAAAAAAATCATAATATTATATAAAAAAGGGGATGGATTGTTAGCAATGGAAATTAATGACTACCATTATAGTACTATGGAGTTGACATCATTATCATCACCTCTTCGTGGTCATTTCCTTGATGATTCATTACGATCGGTTGACTGACCGGACTTCATCTTTACCTGTCATCTTTCACTAATGACCCGCCATTGCCCTGCGTTCCATTTTCAAACATTTTAAAAATACCATATGTCAAATTTACGAGATCATAAAAAAGTCCTGTTTTTTTTTTCAATAGGGCCTTCACTTTATTTTTAAAAAATAATGTGAGGTCATTAACATTCTTGCGATATAATTACATTTAAGAAATATCTAAGATATATATTATTTGCTAAATGGAGATATTAATTTTTTTTTTAAAAAGTAGTATCGAAATATTTATGGTCCACAAAATTTATTCATTCATAGACAAATTAAAATAATATAATTGTTTGTAACAACGAAAACGTGTAAATAAAAGTAAATAATATATTTTAAATTTATAAATAACATTGTTTGAACTGGCAGTGAAGATATATGACCAGAATAAATTTGACATTTACAAAAAAAAAAACTTTCTTCCTTTGCCAATAATTCATTATAAAGTTTTAATTAGAAATGTGGTTCCTTTGTACACACAGACAGATAGACTATATATTACACACACACATACACAAACAATACATATGATCTATATAATATACAATAATATGTACAGAATACAAATTATCTCTTAATAAGATAATTGTGATAACACAAATACAGTGTATTTGATTGTGACCTTGGTGTATTTGACACATAGTATACCTACACCCTTAAATGCATAGAGCATATTTTATTTTTGTAATAAAATTATGCATAGAACAAGAATGTTGTCTATGCATGAATGTTACTCTATTACTAAAAAAAAAAAATAAGAGGATAAAATTAATACTCAAAATTAGAATAGATAAACTGGTGTTTTTTTTTCACAAAAATTTACATTTGCTCTGGCTTTTTTTTTATATTCACTATATTAAAGTTTCATTTCTCATAAATAATATCTTTAACTATCTTAGGAGTCCATTTAAACATCTGTATGATACAATTTTTAGATAATTTTTATGGATTTAAAAAAATAAAGTGCATTCCTATGTCTTAGTTGCACCTTACTTTTTATTTTATTTTTTATTAATGAAATTATGCATAGACAACATTCTTAAAGGCTCAAAAGTCAGCCAACCAAATACATTATAAAAGAAAAAAAATCAGTGATTACCATTCAGGCCATTACTGCTAGTTTCCTGGTAACTTTTCAAATGGAATGGGGAAATTGTGAATACCTCATCCTTCACCAGATCCTCAATATTTTCACCACCATATGATAATAACGGAGAAATTTCAACATCAACGTCATCTTCGATAATGCCACCAGCTTGCCGTATATACTTTCGATGAAGACGGAGCAGGTCTTCCCGAGCTGTGGATGGACAGTCTTTCTTCACTGTGTCTGCATTTTTCAATGCTGAGAACTCAACATCTCTCGCCACTTCTAAACAAATGAAGTTTTCGGCGAATTCAAACACATCAAATATAAACTTCTCAATCTTAATCCCATTTGGCTCTGATGGTTTCTGTCGTACTCCGTTGCTGTCTACATATGGGATCTTCTTCTTAGCTAAGTGAAGCTTCAACTTTGATTCATAGTTGCATATTTTTGTTAGAAATTCAGATGAAAAATAGTGATTGCAAATATTGCCAGCAGAAAATGTCAGTCTACCGTCAGGTTCTCTCCGTTCTGACGCTTCAGTGGTCAGCTCGGAGTATTCCACCACTTTGTAGTGTCCGTTCACACGACATACAACACCAACAGCTTCATTAGGAAACGATTTCCTCACAACTTTCGCAGCACAGTCTGCATTTTTACTACTGCAGTACCCAATAAAAACTGGATCTGCAACTTTAATCAAAATATTGTCTACAGAATGTGCATGCAAGTGTTTAACACCTCGCTTCGCAATGTCTTCCAGCACTCCTTCAGCTTTTAAAGCCCTATACAAGCCACCATTGCCATCAGGAGCTGTATTAATATGGTATTTCTGGTCTAAAATTACTTTTCCATCAAAATCGTAACATGGGAACGTACCTTGCTTGAAGAAAATAATGTCCTCCTCATTAAGACCAAAAAAGGAGTGGTTCCTGAAGAACTCTGCTGTTGGGGCCATGGTATGCTCAGAAGTCATTATGTACCAAGTAATTTTACCTTCCTTGCCATATTTTTCGGTAGCCATTTGTTGGATTCGGACAATCCGTTCAGCTTGAATTTGGAATAGAGTCTTATGAGACGGTAAACCGACATCATACATGCCTTTCGGATGTCCAAATCCTAGCCTAGTCGCTTGCCCGCCTGCTAATAACAAAACGCCGACTCTCCCCTCCGAAATTTCTTTCAAGCCAGTATTTTCGTATTCCTCAATTTTTTCAGAATTCAAATTTGGAACCGACTCATAATGAGTCTGTGGTATCGGTTTCAAATCACTGTCTGACTTTTCTAAAATCACCTTCGATGTTTCATTGGCCCGACGAAATATTTCGTTTACTTCTGCGAAATCCAATTTTAAGATTTCACTTGACAATTGTTCCCGCTCTTTCTCACTAAGTTCCGGCCAGTATTTGATAAGCTGCTCTTGACCGTGAGCAGATAAAACCGACAACAAATTTTCGTACGACATTTTTACTGTTTACACAGCAATATTTTATTTTATGTCCGTCTTTAGCGATTAGAAAGCGTATACTGGCTCATGGTTCGCGCGCTACAGAAAAGATTTCACTGTTCTCCCACCACAAAGCTAATAAACAACAAAATACACGTCGGCCTAAAGTTGACATTTTTCACGAATAATTTAATGTTATTTACATTAATGAATAGATAGCATTACGTAAATGGACTACACTCCATTATTTACATTGCTTTGCACTCTAAAAGACACTTAGTAATGTGCTTAATTATAAAAGCGATGTAATATATATTTCAAGTTCTCTATAATCACTTTTTATTTAATTTGAAAATAAAAATAAGAAACAAACATTCGAACATAATTTTTTTTTTTTTTTAGTACGTTTGTTCCGTTTGGAACAGGCTAAGGTCGGAAACCATGCTGCCTAGTCTTCAAAAAGATAATTTGTCTGGAATTTTATTTTTCTAATGTCGCTTCAATTATTGTCATAATCTTCAATATTTCATTTGTCAAATCCGGTAAGTACATTTTCATAAATATCTTTTCTTGAGTTTTCTTAAACCAGTGGATTTATCAAATTAAAAATAAATAATTATAAAAAATCATTGTCTTGCAATTCAATAAAAGTATTCTTATAGCTCCTTGAATGTTGTAGTAATATAAGTGAAAATAGCTTTGAAACAAGAAGGAAATCTTAAGAGAAGCGGGATTGAGTGCGGGATATTTTCGGTTTTTTTGAAGATAATCCTAAGTTCGTCAAACATAATGTGTCTTTGAATGACAAATTCAGAGCAATCAAAAAAAAGGTGATGTAGAGATTGGGCTGTATTTGAGTTACACCATGTGCATGATGGGGAAGCGATCATGCCCATTCGGTGCAGGTGTTCGTTGAAATGTCCGTGGCCGATTCGTAATCTACAAATATTGGTGTAAAATTTTCTGTTTGTGTCCTTTCCTTTGCAGAACCACGGTTTTCCAATACGCCAATTAATTTTGCGGTACCATTTGCCTTTAGTCTGTAATATTTGAGTCCAATGCTCCTCCCATTTAGTTGTAACGATTTTATGTATTCCAATACTACAATCTGAGTAACAAAGGGGTAAATCTTGAACACGAGCAGCACTTGAATTAATAATTTTAGCCAAAGTGTCTACTTGTTCATTCCCAAACACTCCAATATGTGAAGGGGTCCAGATGAAGATAATATCTTTTCCATATATAGTACAGAGATGATAATATTTATTACGAATTTCTTGAATTAAGTAGTTTGATGATGAAATGATTGTGTTATTTTTTAATGCCATAAGAACACTCATACTATCTGTAATTATAATCTATTTCGAATATAGTACCTGTTTTTCTATGTATTCTAATGCTAAAAATATAGCTTTTGTTTCTGCTGTGTAAATACTAGCCAAAGTTGAAATTTTATAACCGTGACCAAATCTATTTGACAAATCGTAAAAAGCCACTGAAGTGCTAAGTGCATTTTTGGAACCATCTGTATATATCTGCCTGTAGTCAATAAATTCTGATAAAGTCTCATACATATCGTGCTTTTCTTTTATGTCTTTATGTATAACAATTTTGATCTTACAGAACTTACTCTCATAAAGGCCATTATAACAAGGAAGTATCTTACTACTATAGATGTTATATTCATCTCGTAAATTCAAATCATTGATAATAGTTTTATTCAAAAACATAGAAATGGGGCAATTTAATAATTTGAGTATGAGTGGGTTATTGGAAACTGAAAAAACTTTGAAGAGAAATTTGAGTTTTAGGTATTCGAAACGAAGAAGGATAGGAGGCAAATTACATTCTACTTGCATTGAGATAATTGGAGAAGTATACATAGCACCTAAAATAAGTCTTAAATTCATATTTTGAATTTTTTCGAGTTTTTCTACTAATTTATGTTCTGAGGCATAACAAAAGAAAGCGTAATCAAAATTACTTCTAACAAGAGATTTGTAAAGTAAAAGGATAATTTTAGGATCAGCTCCCCAGTTACGACCAATTACAGATCTTATTATATTAGTGGCTCTTAAAGCACGATCTACTAAGCAATCAACGTATAGATCCCATTTTAAATTTTGATGAAAAATTACCCCCAGAAATTTAACGCTACAGTCTGTTGGAAGAGTTTGATTATTATATATAATATTCATTAATGGAACATATTTATGAACTTGATGAAAAACAACTACTTTACTTTTGGTTAAACTAATATCGAGGGAAAGAAGAGAAAAATATTTCTCAAGTCTTTTTAATGACTCATTTAACACTAATTGCATATCAATAATATTCTTTCCTTTTATATAAATTAATAAATCATCGGCAAATTGCAAGTTGTTCACACTGTTTCCTAAAACTAAATTAAGTTTATAGATATATAAAATATATAGTAGCGGGCTTAAAATACCACCTTGACATACTCCTTTAGAGCTTAACCTAGGTCCTATTAATTTACTATTTACTTTAACATACACTTCTCTATTACTAAGAAAATTATAAATCCATTCGATAAGTTTCATTGGAAGAAATGAGGATAGAATCGAAGATAGAACTGTTAAATTTACATTGTTAAAAGCTCCTACGACATCTAAAAAAACAGATAGAACATATTCATCGTTATTCAAAGCAGTACTAAGGTCGACATAGAAGTTCGCTAAACTTTCGCGCGCTGAATATCCACGGCGAAAACCAAATTGATTCGATGGTAATATACTATTACTTTCAATAAAGAACTCTAAACGCTGTTTAATTAATTGTTCGAATAATTTGCCTGCACAGGACGTCAATGTTATAGGTCTATAGGAGTCGAAATTTGTAGGATCTTTACCGGGTTTAATTACTGGAATCAAACAATCCATTTTCCATTCTGGTGGGATAATACAGTCCTTCCATAAATCGTTAAAAATTTGTAAGAGTTTAGTAAGGTTTATTTTATTCAGCAATCGAAACATATTGTATGTTAAGCGATCAAGGCCACTAGCTGTATCTTTTCTAGATTTTACTGCACTGGATATTTCATCAATTGAGAATGGGTCAGTGAGAAATTTTGGGCATGAATTAACAGAATTAAACTGTTTGTCATCAAAAGGTGAGTGTACAAAATCAGGAGTATATTTGCGTAAAAAATCATTGACCCACGATATATCTTTAAAATGATTTTGACGATGTTTTGAATTTAGTTTTCTCATATTTTGCCAAACAGTGGAAATTGGTGTTAATCTATTAAATTTGGAACAAAATTCCTGCCACCCCTGTTGTCTTACTTGCTTAATTACTAACTTTTTAACAGCTTGAACTCTTTTAAAATTTATGTAATTATCGAGAGTTGGATTTTGTTTAAACCTAAGGTAAGCCGCTTTACTATCATTGACAGCTGTCGCACACCTGTTATTCCACCAAGGTACTGCAATATGTTTGTGCCTCTTTGAAGTATTTGCACCGCTATTTGATAAGTTCCTACGTGGAACGGAACGTTCCACAGCTGTCAAAATAATTTTACAGAACCTATTGTAATTGTTTAAGGGTTCATTGACATCATACTCGAAATCCAAAAGTAATTGATTAACAGTTTTAGAATAAAGATCCCAATTAACGAGATGTAGGTTTATACGATTTAACAAAAGTTTATTAACTTCATCTATAGGAGCATGTTGTTCACCTGACGGAGTTGATGAAGAGTTCTTTGTGTTTATTTTAGTAAAAGTCGGCAGGTGATAACTTCCTAACGGATCATCATGAACCGACCACTCGCATTTTAATGATATGGATGGGGATACCATAGTTAAATCAAGGCCATTGGGTCTCCAAATATGAGAGCCAACAGTAGTAACTTGCTTATCATTTAATAGTACCAAATTACATTCATCTAAACAATCAAGAATGTCTTTACCTCTTGTATTAGTGGAGGTACAACCCCACATAGTATGATGTGCATTTAAATCTCCAGATATGATAGTGGGTTTAGGAAGAGACTCCAAAAAGAACTTAAATTTGGCTTTAGTAAAACTAGGTGTACTATTGGTAGGACAGTAAATACTGGCAACTGAATACCAAGAATTATTAACTTCAATACTAATAGCTATAGTTTGCAAAGAATTGTCGAAAAAAGAGTGAAGTTTTTTATATCTAATACTATTATGTATAATAATCGCTACTCCATTGTGGTTATTACCACAATCATTTCGTTCTATACAATAATCTTTAATTTTTAATTTGTAATGTGGTTTTAGCCAAGTTTCTGAGATGAGAGCAATGTGAATATGATGTTCATTTAAAAATTGTGTAAAAATATGTCGATTGCTCAGTAGGCTCTGAGCGTTCCACTGTATGATAGTTAATTGGTCTCGATTGAATTTTGTGAAATAGGTCTATTACCAAAAGTATCATATAACACATTCAAAACACTTTTAGTGTTAATAGATGTGTTCTTTGTGTTATGTAGTGAAATAAGTTTGATTATGCTTTCTATTAAAAGTGATAAACTCTTTTTATCAGAATTTAGAATTGAAATTAGGTCTACATTTTTTTTAGGTTTGTTACCCAGTTTAGGAAATATTTCAGTGCTAAGTATATCTCCAAAAGAAGCAGGTCTGAATTTAGATCTATTTTCAGCAATTTTCTTTTGTTTAACAGGGCATTGCGGTGATACACTTGTGTGATTTCCATTGCAGTGTACACAAATAGCGTTTTCCATTCCAGTTGTACAAGTTTTATAATTATGCTCACCTTTGCAGATGCTGCAACGCTCAGAATTCTTACAGAATTTAGCTAAATGTCCATACCTCAAGCACCGGTAGCATTGTTTAACTGGTGGTATATATGGAGTGACATTGTGGCGCCAACCTCCAATATCCAGATATTCAGGTAATACAGATGCAGCAAAAGTAATTGTCACGGTTAGAGTTGGCTGTAACACATATCCATGAGTCAAGGTATTTTTTCTTAAAATTCTTTTAATAGCAATAATTTTCTTAGAACTCGATATCATAGTATATATTTTTTTATTAGATATATTTGTAGGTACATTTCTAATAACGCCTGTAACTTCTGTTGAAGAAGCAGGAATACTGGCCTTAAAATGGTAGTCATTTAAAAAAGTTTTATTATTTAAAAAAGCATTGGCTAAGTCTGGCTTTTGAAAGTATACTCCGATTTTGAATTTATTTATAGATCTAAGATAAGTTACCCCTTTATTAAAACGTTTTAAACAGGAGGAGAGTGAGAGCAAGTCTCTGGATCCAATGGTTTTCTGACTATCTGAGGATTCTACAAAGACAACAAATTCTGTCCCAGGGGATTCCTCGGGATATCTTCTAATATAATCTGTGACGTAGTAAGGTTTATACTTATCGGCCTTATCAATTTCAGATTCTGAGTCAGTAGAAGTATCTTCCGAATATATATCCTTGTCATTACAAGGTTCATGGTCTACATCACCTGAATCGTCATCTTTTTTTCCTTTTCCTACAACTGCGCTTCCCCATGAATGCTAATTATATTACTGTCACTGAATTTAGTGAAAATATAATATTTTATTCAATAATAAGAATTGATAGAGATAGTTTTTATAAATTAATAAAAAAAATTTAAAAAACCCGCTTGTTTTTATTCGAGTTTCCCGCCTTTTTCCATTCGAACATAAAAAGTAATGTCAATTTGACAATGATAGTTGACATTTTTTTTTCTTCAATATCGAAATCTAGAGTAATTATTGATTTGGCAACAGAAGTTAGTTCCATCGTCAACCATTAACTAAGACAATATGTTATTTTATTATTAAAAATCTTAAAAATGATAGTTAATTAAATAATTAGATGATTTAGCTATATACCATCAAATTTATTAAATTTATCATATTAATATTTTAAAAATTCATTGAGTGGTTCGTATTTTTTATAACCTGTTTTCTTAGACAATAGTAAATTATTTTGTCTGTGATATAACGGTTAAAAAAAATAAAATGTCAAATCATTACTTTGTTGACATATGTTATTTACTGCTTTTTGTTGTGGATTTTGTATTAAATTTCGTGTATATTATCAGTAACAACTTGCTTATAATCCTGCAACTGTTATATAAACACATTTTTAATGTAAATATGACGGAAAAGGGGAAAAAGCGCAAGAGGATTACGGAAAACAAAACTGTAACCGCGAGAGGTGCGATCAACGCGAACTGGCAGAAACTACTCTCAAGCAATTTAATAATGGACAAAAACACAGAGAAACCAGTACAGGAGGATACAAAACACTACACCGGCGCCTTTAGAAGAACTAGAAAGAAACAAGCAAAGGAACTTAATAGTACGGTAGAAAGTAACCTCAAAAGTTTAAATTTAAGAACAGACACTAATAGTAAACCTGATAAATCACATAGTACAGACAATTTAGAACATAGTAGTGTAGTGATAAATAATAATGTAACAAAATCCAGTGATTTAGATTTAAAAAATAAGAAAAATAACTTGACTAAGTTTATAGCAATGGATTGCGAGATGGTGGGCGTGGGTAGTGATGGGAACGATCATATGCTGGCCAGAGTGTCGCTGGTGAACAAATTTGGTGATTGTATCTACGATAAGTATGTGAAGGCTCGCGAAGAAGTAACTGACTATCGTACGAACGTCAGTGGAATCCGTAGAGAGGATTTATTAAATGGTGAAGATTTTACTGTGGTGCAGAAGGAAGTGGCCGAGCTAATTAGAGGTCGGGTTTTAGTCGGTCATTCGTTGAAGAGTGATCTTAGTGTACTATTTCTATCACATCCGAAAAGGAATATTAGAGATACTTCTAGATATAAACCGTTCAGGAAGGTGAATATTTTAATTTTATACTTTCAAATTGTTTACACATATTTTTAAATACACAATCTGGACTTAATGCAATGAGTCCCCATTGTGTATTTAAAAATAGTTGAATATTTTTTTGTATTTTTACCTTTTTCTGCATCTTAGAATAATGATCAAGCTGACGGGCCAACTGATGGACTGGGTAATTGCTGCCTATAAGCATTTTCATTCATCTTATCTGCAATCAGTCCCAGATCTATGAGTAAATTTTTTATAACCATAGAGTATCTACCCCAGCAGGAAGATCTATTACTTTTTTAATGGATGAAAATGGAATGGTAACCCATTTTTGCTATCAGTGTATACTGCTGAGGCACCAGGTGATGATAGGTGAGAATAAAAACAGGTCAGTTAACCCATTAGTCACTTCGGTGTACTAAAGCCTCAACAAAAATTTGATTAAAAAAATAATAATAACCCATTGTTATGTATGAAAATAATGGATAATTTGATGTGGGTACCTGTATAATTGTTATGACAATAAAAATAGTTTTGCTTCCAATCTCAACTAAGTTGTTATTTTTTTTTAATACAACTTATAATGGCAAACAAGCTGACGGCCCACCTAATGGAAAGTGGTAACCATCGCCTATAGACATGAGCAGTACCATGGACATAACAGAGTATACTGTTTCGCCCATGATACCCCCCATGCATTGCGATTCCTGAGAACTCAGGTGTTATTCCTCTGTACCCTGTAAATTCACACCATTTTTACCCATATAGCTAATTCTACAAGAACCGACCACAATGGTTTCCAGTGGGAATCTCCTCTCTGTGGCTCCCCTGGAAACTGTCATGCTGAATTCTAAGTGTATTCATCATGATGAGCTAACTGATCTGCCTTTTTATTCTCATTTATCATCCCTAATTGGTACCCTGCCACCATATATAGCACAGACAGAGTTACTCTTTAATATAGTCTCATTTAAAAAATCCACCATTCTACTGGGCATTTGCTTCACAATTCCAGATTACCAAAGGCAGCACGCCGTCCCTCAAACGGCTGGCAAAGGAGATCCTCGGCATAGAGATACAGCATGGTGAACACAGTTCTGTCGAGGATGCACGAGCTGCAATGCAACTGTACTGCACCGTAGCCAAGAAATGGGAGTCTGTTATGAGCGAGAAGCGAGGATACAACAAGAAGTTCTTAGAAGAATAACCATACTTAAAACAGAAAAGTCGATTTTTTTTGCAGGAGAGATGAGACACTCATGCTTTATGGAAGCTGTGATGGCAAAATGTAGTCATCCTTTCAATCTCTTTATCCAGGATGTTGAGAAAGTTGTTGTAAATTTGTTTACATATGTATTAGCTGTCTATATACATATATAATGAGAAATTAATAAAATCACAAGTGTTTTTGTCATTTCCGACATATGTTTTGACTTCATTTGGAAGACAAAGTCTTCGGGAAAAAGAAGTCTTCAACGGACATACAGCGCTTTGTGTCAAGAATTTTGCCTCGCACTGCGGGCTGCAGCTCGCATAGCCCGTGGTGAAGTCGATGGTGGCGACGGAGGTAGCGGTGATTGGAGACACTGGCGGTGAAATTAGCGGCTGTATCTAATGTAGTTATTATTGACTGTGACTCTCTTCTCACTGTTGCTGTCTTCTGAACTGTCCAAAATAGTCTAACACGCAAAGCTTACTGTACATTTTACTTATTCTTTTACTAATTAATTTTATAATTCTCTACTTGACTCATAGTTGACTTAGGTGGGAAGGGATTGTTAGTAATGGAGACTGAGAATCCCATTGCTAGCAATATAGCCAGGTCGACCTCCTCGCGATTCCCCCTGGAAACTACCGTGGTTAATTTCTGATGAATTCATCATGATGGGCTAACTGGTCTGTTTTCATTCTCATCTATCACCCTTCACTGGTGCTCCGCCAGCGTATCCCGTTAGCGCAGGCGGGGTTACCATACCATTTTCACCCATCAAAAAAAAGACTCATGGTTGACTAGTGAAGCCTTTAGGTGTATTATTGTATATTCCACCATATGTACACTAATTTATTTAATTACATTGAAGTTTAAATAAATTAAAAAAAAAAGAATATAAGTTTTAAAATAATATACTAAAAATATATATATATATATATATATATATATATATATATATATATATATATATATATATATATATATATATATATAAACTATAAAAAGTAGCCTATGTCCATCTTCATCCCATATACTATGTGTGTACCGAATTTCATACTGATCGGTTAAGCCGTTAACAATAAGTAATCTTTTACTTTTATGCAACTTAGAAGGGCAAGCTGACGGCCCACCTGATGGAAAGTGGTAACCGTCGCCTATGGGGTGGAAGGGATTGTTAGTAATAGGGAGATTAGTCCCCATTGCTATCAATACACCCTATCAGGTCGACCTCCACGCGGTTACCCCTGCAAACTTGTGACTAATTTATCGTTGAATTCATCACGATGGACTAACTGATCTGCCTTTTCATTCTCACCTATCACCTTTCACTGGTACCCCGTCAGTGTGTACCGATAGCACAGCCGGGGTTTCCATGACATTTTCACTCATTAAAAAAAAACAACCGTCGCCTATAGACTTGAGCAGTACCATAGACAGAGTATACTGTTTCGCCCTTCGCCCATGATACCCCATAATATGATATCTTATGGTTATTTATAATAAAATTGTAACTAGATATGTCTGTACATGGGTTGTATTTAAGAAATAATATGAGGGGCTTTTAATACCAATGGAAACCAAAACAATTTTTAGATATTTCATATTTTTGTTATGGCAACATGCAAAAATTATTGCATCAAATTGAATATAGTTTTTAGAGATGTATGTGTGGATGTACTTTTTTTTTGATGTGTGAAAATGGTATGGTAACCCCGCCTGCGCTAACGGGATACGCTGGCGGAGCACCAGTGGAGGGTGATAGATGAGAACGAAAACAGGCCAGTTAGCCCACCATGATGAATTCATCAGGAATTAACCATGATAGTTTCCAAGGCGAACCGCGATTAGGTCGACCTGGTTGAGTATATTGCTAGCAATGGGATTCTCAGTCTCCATTACTTACAATCCCTTTCCTCTGTGTGTGGATGTACTGTAGGTGTAACTTTAAAATGTTTTTTTTTAACGGGTTATAATGCAATGGTTACCTTGCCTGCGCTAATGGTATACACGGGCGGGGCACCAGTGACAGATGATATGTGAGGATGAAGTAGGTCAGTTAGCCCATCGTGACGAATTCAACAGGAATTATTCACGATGGTTTCCAGGGGGAACCACGTGGATGTCGACCTGATAGGGTATATTGCTAGCAATGGGGCTGTTAAATTCCATTGCTGACAATCCCTTACCCCCTTAAAATGTGGTGTGGTGTTTGTTTCGACTCGATAAGTGGTCAATCTAGAGGTCTATTCCATTGATTTTTCTTCTGAAATCCACTCATACGAAATGGGGGGCAAAACCATTACTTAAAATATGTATTGAAGCAGTGAAAATTGCAAATTCTTTATTGTTTTCAGAATAGTTTTTATTTTTATTATTATATGAGCAATGAACTGTCCATTGCTGGACATATTTCCTAATAAATGGGGTTTTACTAGTAGTTGCCACGCTTGGCAACCACAGCTTTGCTATTGTTTTATAAGATACGCCGATGTTTATCCCTCGTCCATTAAGTTTTTTTTTTATACAACTTAGAATGGCAAACAAGCTGACGGCCCACCTGATGGAAAGTGGTAACCGTCGCCTATAGACATGAGCAGTACCATGCACATAACAGAGTATACTGTTTCGTCCATGATACCCCCCCATGTAATGCCATTACTGACGACTCAGGTGTTATTCCTCTGTACCCTGTAAATTCACGCCATATCCCACACTTCAAACCGATGACACAGCCATGCAAACATAACTGCTTCACGGTAGAAACACGAATGGGACAGAGGTAGCCAAGCAATCGACTTTTGTATAAAGTCTCCCTCTGGTAAAGTTCCCTTAGTCGCCTCTTACGACACCCACGGGAATGGAAGAGGTAGTGCGTTCTATGGCGGGACCACGCTGCGGATTGTTTTATAAATTACAGTAAAATTACATAGTTAATAATTTATTTATTTAACTCTTTATTGCACCATAAATAAAAATATACAATGACAAGTGAATAATTCAAGTGAAATACAGTAACATAAATACAGATTGAAATATACACATAAAGGTACAAAAGGCGGTCTTATCGCTAGGGCGATCTCTTACAGGCAACCTTTAGAATTTTTTTTTCTTGTAATGTGGAAACTGATGTCAGTCACACTAGCGCTACGGTGTGGACCTTGCATGAAGTAAAGTTAGTGTTGCTACTATAAAAAATAGCAATTTCTAGAAGTTTCTGGAATTTTGTAGTAAGTAATAACATCATCATTATCACAACCATTTATTGTCTATTCTTGAACATAGGCCTTCTCTTGAGAATTTTGCCAGTTGCCACACTTGGCAGGCGGGTTAGCAACCGCATTAAGGCTTTAGAGATGTTTTAAAAGGGACGCTGTTGCCCCTCACTAAACTATTACGTTGTCTTAGTCGCCTCTTACGACACCCACGGGAATGGAAGGGGTGGTCCATTCTATGCCGGGACCACACGGTAATTAGCAATTAATTAATGTGTTCCATAAATTAGTGAAATAAAATATTTTTGCATTTTAATTTTTTTATTCTTTCCTTTTCTGGTCACCTTTGATTTAATAAAAGATTGTTACCTAAAAAAAAAAGACTTAATTTTTTTTTATGCCACATAGAATGGCAAACGAGCTGACGGCCCACCTGATGGAAAGTGGTAACCGTCGCCTATAGACATGACCAGTACCATGGACATAACAGAGTATACTGTTTCGCCCATGTTACCTCCCATGCGTTGCCATTCCTGAGGACTCGGGTGTTATTCCTCTGTACCCTGTAAATTCACGCCATATCCCACCCTTCGAACCGAAACACAGCCATGCAAACAACTACTTCACGGTACAGACACGAATGGGACAGAGATAGATAGATAATTTATTTACATTACAGCATACAAATTACAATACAAACATAGACATAATACACAGTAAAAGAGATAAAAGAATTTAAGTAAAAAAGCAACAAAAAAAAAACAAAAAGCAAAATATACAAAACAACAATTTCCTTTCCTTTTTTTTCCTCCACGCGTGTGCCATAGTTACACAAAATGGTCACAACACGGTTTATTGTTTATTGTTCTACCGGGGTGATAAATCGCATTTGGCGCCTACAATCGATTTTATTTTAATATTTGGCTGTTTACATGTTACCAAATGTTTTTATCAGAGAACGATGCTAACATTCATATCTAAAGAGGCTGGTCGAAAAATTCTCCTGGATAATGCTTTCCTGATAACACTCCTGTAACCAAGGTAAGCGTTGAGCCTACACGTTGATAACTGGAACTAAATAATAAAACATTATCTGCAGGATAAAAAGTTATTAATTCAGAGACAAGGAGGAAGCGCGTGGAGGTCGACCTAATAGGGTGTATTGCTAGTAATGGCGACGTTAAACCACGTCACTAACAATCCCTTCCCCCCTACCTGAAGAATTGTCTCTAGGTATCTATTGCCCCTCTTCCTTTCGCATGGGTTTCGTAAGAAGCGACAATGAGAATTTATTGGACGAGGGGTGGACGGCAGCAGTGTCCTTTTTAAAACATCGTCAAAGTTTTTTTTTTATACCACTGAGGTGGCAAACAAGCACACGGTCCACCTAATGGTAAGCGGTTACCGTAGCCTATGAACGCCTGCAATACCAGAGGTATTACGCGTGCGTTGCCGACCCTGAAGAAACCTCTTTACCCCCCTTTTGAAGAAGCCCATGCTGTAGTCGGTAAAACCACGGTTGTGTAGGCCATAGAGGAACAATAATTATACCGCAAGCTTTATCAGAAATGGATCTTTCTAAGCGTCTTAAGAATCACTGTAAATGATGGGAAGGCATAAATGTAAAACTTTTGCTCAATTGATTGTGAATGAATTAATAGCAATTACGTCCGGATCCCTATGCCATGTGACATAAGTTCACATTTTTTATTTATGCGATTTGTAATTCGATCAACCTCTGTGTGATGTACTCATTAAAGTTTAGACTGCAAGTCCCCCCGCTCCTGCCACTCCACTCCTCTGGGTGACGTCCGGGCGGGTGGTCGTGGGAGTCCCATTGTGACATATTATTATTTATTATTTCCTACACCTACCTACCAGACCAGGCGGACAGCACAAAATTGGCGACGAGGTGAAAATTGCATTTACAATACGTACCTTTGTGTTTTTATCAGAAGAAAATAATATTATTTTATCTATGGTTTCATATCGAAATTTTCCGATGAGGTTACCGTACTATGTTCACGCATCCAAAAAAACCCGCCTGCCAAATGTGGCAATTGCTGGCAAAACTCCCCTCATGGGGAGTTTTGGGAGTCTTTAAAGTGTTCAGCAGTGGAAAGTTAATAGTTGAAATAATGACTGTTCGTGATAATGCGTATAAAATGCTCGTCATCAAATAATTATTAAATGATTTATTAATTGACGTGTACAATGATAAATTTATTGATACATCAATGGTGGCATCATGATGATTCATTCGTGTAACTACCGTAATAAGTGTTGCCAACGCCAGTGTTAAAAAATACCCAATATCTTAAAACAATATTATAATTGTCCACTGATTGCTTAATCCTTTTTAAAAATTTATTCATAAAGTCGTTTAAATTGTAAAAAAATATATAAATCCAATTGATTTATATGTATAATTAAATTTACTAGGATGAATGTGGTAAGTTAAAATAATAGGGCCGTTTCTGAGGTGCGATTTCCCAAAATTTTAACCTTTGTAAGTGGGGGAAAAGGATTGTTAGCAATGGAGTTTGACAGCCCCATTGCTAGCAGTATTTTTTTTTTTTTTTTTTTTTTTTTTTTTTTTTTTTATAGAACTTAGAATGGCAAACAAGCTGACGGCCCACCTGATGGAAAGTGGTAACCGTCGCCTATAGACATGAGCAGTACCATGGACATAACAGAGTATACTGTTTCGCCCATGATACCCCCCATGCGTTGCCATTCCTGAGGACTCAGGTGTTATTCCTCTGTACCCAGTAAATTCACGCCATATCCCACCCTTCAAACCGAAACGCAGCCATGCAAACACAACTGCTTCACGGTTGAAACACGAATGCTAGCAGTATACCTTATTACCTCCACGTGATTCCGCCTGGAAACCATCGTGAACAATTCTTGTTGAATTCGTCACGATGGGCTACCTGACCTGCTTCTTCCTCACCTATCATCCTTCACTGGTGCCCCGCCGGTGTATACCGATAGCGCGGATGGGGTTACCGTTCCATTATCATCCATTTAAAAAAACCTTTGTAAGTTAATATTTAAATTTAATACTGTCACGAAATGATTGCTTTTATTTATTTATTTATTTATGTTTTCATCTTTGGGAGACTTTGTACTAAAGTCTATCTATTATCTGTCTATCTATTCATGCCTCTACCGCCGAACAAATGCGCTTCCATTTTGAATGTATTTCGGTTTTGTTTTTAATGGGTGATAATGGAATGGTAACCCCGCCTGCGCTAACAGTATACGCTGTCGGGACACCAGTGAGAGGTGATGGGTGACAATGAAAACAGGTTAGTTAGCCCATCGTGATGAATTTCACTAGAATTAATCACAATGGTTCCCAGGGGGGGCTGTGTAGAGGTCGACCTGATAGGGTGTATAGCTAGCAATGGGTCAATTAGACCCCTATTACTAAAAATCCGATTATACGTATGTAAAGACGCGGATGACAACTAGTATATGTTAAAATGAAGTTAACATGATTGGACCTAATAAAAGGAAAAATGTCAAAACGAAAGTATTTTCGCCAAAACAATTTGCCCGAATCAACGACAGTATTTAATTCACCATGCTATGGAAGGTAGGGATTTTTTTTCATAATATGGTAACACAAAAATTACCAACTGGAAAAAGTTATTCTATGATAGAGTTACCAGTACATAAAAATTTTTACCCAAACAATTGGGTAAAAATATAAGTTTAGATGATCTAATTTGCATTTGGTATGCGGATTATGTATGTATAATGCATTATATATATATATATATATATATATATCTGTTGTATCTGTTCTATCAACAAGTCGCTAGGAACTAGTCAAGGTTCCATCGAAACCGTGTGAAGTTCGACCTAACTGATTACAATGAAGGCGAAGGGGAGGAAAAGGATTGTTAGCAATGGAGTTTGACAACCCTATTGCTAGCAATATGCCCTATTAGTTCGACCTCCACGTAGTTCCCCCCGGAAACCATCGTGAACAATTCTTGTTGAATTCGTCACGATGGGCTAACTGACCTGCTTCATCCTTACCTATCATCCTTCACTGGAGCACCGCCGGTGTATACTAATAGCGCGGGTGGGGTTACCATTCCATTTTCACCCATAAAAAAAAATTAAGGGGAAGGGATTGTTAGTAATAGGCTCTATCGGTCCCACTGCTAGCAATATACCCTATCAGGTCGACCTCCACGCGGTTCCCGCTGGAGATTATCGTAGTTAATACTTGTGGATTCGTCACGGTGGGCTAATTGACATGCTTTCAACCTCACCTATCACTGGTGCCCCGTCAGTGTATACCGATAGCGCAGGCGGGGTTACCATTTTATTATCATCCACTAAAAAAATTTTATCATTGAAATCTTTACACATATTTCATATTCGGAAATAAAATATTAGATCTGGCAATACTGCACGATAAGAGTATGAATATGTTGTAACTGTACTTTACTAGTGATAAGTAACTAGTCGAAGCCAGCTACGATAGTTATTGCGACTATTGACTATATATATATATATATATATATATATATATATATATATATATATATATATATATATATATATATATATATATATATATATATATATACTATAAGTGTGTTGGGATGTAATTATAATTGAAAGAGGAATAAAGTGTTGTAGGCAATTATATATATATATATATATATATATATATATATATATATACATCGATAATATTTTTATAGCTAGCTATATTATATATATATATATATATATATATATATATATATAATATAGCTAGCGTAAGTACCGTAACTGACGGGTAAACGAAGTTGTTGCGGGTGGAAATGGGATAGTTAGTAAAGGGAATTAGCAGCCCTTACTTGATTCATTGTTGAATTTGCCACGATGGGCTGACTGACCAGCTTCATCTTCGCTTATCATCTCTCACTGTTTTTTTTTTAATTTTTTTAAACAATTTATAATGGCAAACAAGCTGACGGCCCACCTGATGGAAAGTGGTAACCGTCGCCTATAGACATGAGCAGTACCGTGGACATAACAGAGTATATTGTTTCGCCCATGATACCCCCCATGCGTTGCCATTCCTGAGGACTCAGGTGTTATTCCTTTGTACCCTAGTGTATACTGATAGCGCAGGCGGGGTTACCATTCTATAATAGAATGAAAAAAACAAATAAAAATAGTTCATAAAAAAAATAGTTGTTGATAGTCGGCGATTAATCGCCGCGCTATAATATGCCAGCCGCTCGAAAATGGCTATAACAAATAGCTGGCTAATAGCTGGCGACAGATTACTTAGCCGTAGCTATTCTTTGCATAGCTGCTATATGTTATAGCTGAATATTGGTATAGCTATCAATCACTATTTTACATTGTTTGTTCTTATCAAATCATTTCTATTGCTTCACCTTTGTTCTTTGTTTGTTCACCCAGTTTATAATTACTTTTAAACAACCATTTAGTTGTTACTGTCTCACGAATACACAAGTTCAAATATCGGTTTTATATCATAAACGACCAAACGCTGCGACGTGAGGACGATAAGAGAAAAAATTCCTAAAGATAAGTACGGATTGGGTTACTTATAAATTGATTGTACCAAAAATGGACAGTTTGAGAACGAAAAAGAGAATTGCATTGGACTGCGAAATGGTCGATGTTGGTACTAATCTCCGCAGAGACATCGTAGCTAGAGTGTCGTTAGTGGATGAACATTTGCAATGCGTTTACGACAAATATGTGAAACCAACGAAAACGGTTACAGACTATCGGACCGCTATTACTGGTGAGTTATAGCCAGCTATATTTTTCTATGACAAAAGAGAAATTAACTTGTTAATAGATCGGCTAAAAGTAACATTTGTGCCACCACCACTGAGGTGGCAAACAAGCATACGGCCCACCTGATGGTAAGTGGTTACCGTATCCTATGAACACCTGCAATACCGGAGGTATTACGCGTGCGTTGCCAAAAATGTATGTTTACAATGCTCCGCCTGCGCTAACGGGATACGCTGGCGGACCACCAGTGAAGGGTGATAGATGAGAATGAAAACAGGCCAGTTAGCCCATCATGATGAATTCGTCAGGAATTAACCATGATAGTTTCCAGGGGAACCGCGAGGAGGTCGACCTGGTTGGGTATACTGCTAGCAATGGGATTCTCAGTCTCCATTACTAAGAATCCCTTTCCCCCTGGAAGGGTTTTTTAGCAATGCGGACTACTAGTTCCCTTGCTAGCAAATGCCCTGGCAGGTCCACGTCCGCCTGGCCCCCTTGGAAACCATCGTGCTGAACTCCAGGTGTATTCATCATGATGGGCTAACTGACCTGCCTTTTCATCCTCACCTATCATCACTCACTGGTGCCCCGCCATTGTACATCAATAGCGCAGGCGGGGTTACTATTACATCATTACTCATTAAAAAAAATACCTTCAAACCGAAACACAGTCATGCAAACACAACTGCTTCACGGTAGAAACACGAATAGGACAGAGGTGCTCAAGCAATCGACTTTTGTACAAAGTCTCCCTTTGTTCTACAAGGTCACTTAGAATAAAAACAATGGGCAGACTTTGTACAAAAGTCGATTGCTTGGGTACCTCTGTCCTATTCGCATTACAACCATGAAGCAGTTGTGTTTGCATGGCTGTGTTTCGGTTTGAAGGGTGGTGGTTGATATGGCGTGAATTTACAGGGTACAGAGGAATAACACCTGAGTCCTCAGGAATGGCAACGCATGAGCGGTATCATGGGTGAAACAGTATACTCTGTTATGTCCATGGTATTGCTCATGTCTATAGGCGAGAGTTACCACTTTCCACCAGGTGGGCCGTCAGCTTGTTTGCCATTTAAAGTTGTATAAAAAAATAGTATTCCTCAACGAATGTACATAAAAATTTATATAAAATAAAATAGTCAATAGTTTCTGTACAGACAACTGAATATTGTCGACGGAAATGCAATCCGAGAGTCGTGTGTGCAACGCAGTCCGTCCGATAAGGGCTTCCCGTAGGCATTGCTGGGAACAATGGGTATGTTTCAATCAGAGAGAGACTTTGTACAATGTTCAGCCGGGCGGACAACAGCCGCCACCCACACTTGATGGACCTCGCCCCATTACATGCGCGTCCACCGGACGCGACACGCGCATTGCCGCGTGATCTCCTGCGCACAGCAGGCACCCCGCAAGACGACGGTTAAACCGGACCTGCACTGTCGACGATGTACATGACGTATTATTTATTACGCTCAATATTTCCCTTTAATTTTACCCCACCTGTATTCTTTCAGCCATTTCCCCCGTAAAATGTAAAGGATAAAAAATGGTTATTGTGGGTATTTTTTATGGGTGAAAATGGTATGGTAACTCCGCCTGCGCTAACGGGATACGCTGGCGGAGCATCAGTGAAGGGTGATAGATGAGAATGAAAACAGGCCAGTTAGCGCATCATGATGAATTCATCAGGAATTAACCATGATAGTTTCCAGGGAGAACCGCGGGGAGGTCGACATGGTTGGGTATATTGCCAGCAATAGGATTCTCAGTCTCCATTACAAACAATTCCTTTCCCCCCATAAAATATATCGTTTAAAATTCATTGTTTGATCTTTCATCAGGTATCACGAAGCTCAAGTTAGAACGAGAAGGGATCGATTTTAACATTGTACAAAGAGATGTGAAGAGATTAATAGCTGGTTGTGTGGTAGTTGGCCACTCTCTAGACTACGATTTTAAAGTTCTGAACTTGGATCACCCCGATGAAGACGTGATAGACACATCCAGAATAGATCCGTTTAAGTCTGTAAGTCTTCTCTATCAACCTACATCTTTTTTTATACAACTTAAAATGGCAAACAAGCTGACAGCCCACCTGATGGAAAGTGGTAACCGTCGCCTATAGACACGAGCAATTCCCGAGGATTTGAGTGTTATCCCTCTGTACCCTGTTAATTCACTGCCATATCCCACCCTTCAAACTGAAACACAGCCATGCAAACACAACTGCTTCACGGTAGAATAACGAATGGGAGAGAGGTGCCTAAACAAACGTCTTTTGTATAGTCTTCCTCTGGCAAATAAGTGATGACTATGACGAGACCATGAAGCTGATGATGATGTAAAGATGTATAATGCAAATGAAGGTCTACTCATTCGTTTTTTCTTTCCAGCTAACAAATAAAGGGCACACGCCGGGTCTCAAATTTTTAGCTCAGAGGTTTTTAAATGTCAATATACAACAGGGTCAACATAGCTCCATCACCGATGCCAAAGTTGCCATGAAACTGAGTTTAATGGCTATCCCCAAGCGGCAATAGTTATCCCCGAACATCGACAATGTCCCCAAAAGTTCGATAGCTGTTCCCGAAGTTCGATAGCTGTCCCCGAAGTTCGATAGCTGTCCCCGAAGTTCGATAGCTGTCCCTGAAGTTCGATAGCTATCCCCAAACGTCGGCTGTATCCAAGCGGTGATAGACTGAGGGCGGCGTCGCGTTTAGGGTCCGTGGGGCCCTAAGCTACATCTGTGATGGGGCACCTAGTTTACGTTTAAAATAAATTATTATATTTCAAAATATTTACATTAGAATTACAAATTGATTTTTTGTTATTAAATTTTTAATAATTTGTGTGTAACATTGATAGAAAATTGAGTTCCCACTTTTCCATTTATTTAATTTTTTAATCAACTCTTTCCATTTGTGGCAAGAGTCCATTTATGAGGGGGCCGGGGCGTTCTTTGTGGTTGAAGAACTTAGGCTATGTGAAGATGGAAGATCTATGAAGATGGAATCAGACATGAGCCTACCATGAAAAATTTTCCGAAATTTCGGGGACGAACGAGACAGAAATTTTAAGTTAAAATTACGCAATGTTTAACAGTATGTTTAAAATTATTAAAAATGTTAAAATATCGTTCCTCTGGACTATTAGGATAGGATTTATGATGAACGAAATGTTAAGCTCCATTTACTGGCTCGATTTTGGTACGAACAAGAATACGAATTTGAACCGGAAAATTCGGAATTTCATTCCATGGTAGACCACCAGGTCAGTTGGCCCCTCGTGATACTGATGATTGGGGAACCGCGTGGAATTGTAAGGGTGTATTGCTAATAATGGGTCAGTTAGACTCCAGTTAGTTAGAGTAACAATTTTTAATTAATTAATTAAATAAATTGTAACATTTCATTTATAATTTTAATCTAATAAAACATTATAACGTCCAATATTATTTTATGGTTTTATTTCAATCAATCAATTAAGATATCATGGTCCCGACAGGACGACGGGGCGCAATTTAGATAGATAATTTATTTGCATTACTTACAGCACACAAATTACAACATATACTAATATACATAAAAAGCGAGATAACATGAATGATTAAAACAAAAATACATAAAGCCCTTCGCTGGCGGAGCACCAGTGAAGGGTGATCAATGAGAATGAAAACAGGCCAGTTAGCCCATTATGATGAATTCATCAGGAATTAACTATGATAGTTTTTTTTTTTTACAACTTAGAATGGCAAACAAGCTGACGGCCCACCTGATGGAAAGTGGTAACCGTCGCCTATAGATATGAGCAGTACTATGGATATAACAGAGTATACTGTTTCGCCCATGATACCCCCCATGCGTTGCCATTCCTGTGGGCTCAGGTGTTATTCCTCTGTACCCAGTAAATTCACTGTAAATTTTTATAAAAGTAAATCAAATAGTTAATAAGCACTAACATGTAGGTATGAAAATCCATATCTGTCGTGTTTTGCGGCCAGATAAATTACTATGTAAACTCATATCTGTCCTGTAATTTAAAAATAGAATGACCTTTTACTTCGAAACATGGCTACCAAGGAGGTAACTAATAAAAGGTTTTATTTAAATTTCGAACTGGCTTGCAAATAGAAAGCTGTTTATTGAAAAATAAAACAAAGGAATATTATGGCGCGTGAAAAATTATTATTGTTCGTTATTCGTCATGAACTTAAAAAGTAAAATTGTGTTTTTGATTTCCGCGCATTGTTTGAAAAAAGTACTATACAAGCCTTGGCCACAACTAACTTGACGACTCACATATGTGTGCCTCGGCTACGTCTCGACCCACATTTGCACGTTCGTCCATCAATGCCTCAGTTGCTGGCCGCTGCAGTAATGTACTATTCCCTAGCTATTATTAACGGCGCTGGTAGAAGAGAAGAGCGGCGGAAATAATAAAATAATATAACATTAGAGTTACCAGTATATGAGTAATTCCTTGACATGCACAATACATTCAATATGTGAATCAGGTAAGACAACAAAAAAGGTTATTTGATAACCTTTTTTGTTTAGGCATTTTTTTTATACAACACAGGGGGCAAACGAGCATGCGGTTCACCTGATGGTAAGTGACTACCGCCGCCCATGGTCACCCACAACACCTACGGCATTGCAGGTGTGCTGCCGGCCTTTTAAAAAGCTTTTAAAATATGCTCTTTTCTTGAAGGTTATGTTGTCGTATCGGTTCGGAAATACTGCTGCTGGAACTTGATTCCAAAGAGTGGTTGTGCGTGGAAGAAAGTGCCTTGAAAAACGCACGGTGGAGGACCGCCACTCGTCCAGATGGTTGGGATGAAATTTTAGTTATTTTTTTATATTTATATATTTTATCCAAAATATATAAATATAAATCTAAAAAGGTAAACTTGTATAAAAAGAGGTCTGTCACCAATGGCTATTTTATAAAGGGCACTGATATAGTAAAACAATCGCGTCTTGATGTTAGCATTTTAATGTCTCGTATACGATGACAACGGAGTGCAAAGGGTTATAGCAGACTGTTGGGTGATTTGCGAAGTGTTTATCAAAAAAATAAAATAAAACACACATGTAATGAATGATATATTTATAAACCTATAAAGCTGAATTATTATGCGTATCGGTTTGTAAGAACAAAAAAAAAAAAAACTGTAATATTTTCACCTTATAATTATGTTAACAAATAAACAATCTATTTGCAGTACATTTCAATTGTTTTTTTTTTTGGTAAATTTAACTTTTTTTTTTAATCATGCTCATCCTTTTGGTAAAGGCAAAGACAATTAATGTTCCCAAAAAAAAAAAAATTAAGCACCCTTATTTACAACACCTGTTAGTCCAAATTCTGTCATTTTTCGACTTTTTAGGGAAGGGGGGAGTTTAATATATAGCATATCTATATTTACTATAACACAGCCGACCCTAAACAATAATTGGGAAATGGGTCGGAACACGATGCCGATGTTCGGCCTGGGAGTTTAAAAAAAATTATATAAAATATTAATGTTGTACGCCCAATATATAAGATCGCATCAATATATATATATTGAACTGCAGTATACAGATATTGCTATATATAATACCGTTTATATTATTTAGAAAAAATAAATGGAAACTTACACTCGATAAACAATTTGAAAATGTAAAACGATCTTTGGATATTGTCGGGGAAGGTTTTTTTTTTTAATTCCTTATGCATATTTTTTTTTTTACAATTATTTCTGCACGCATTAAAAACTTTATTCATTATATTATAATACATTTTTTTCTCTCTCTCGATGGTGAAGTATTCTTTGAGTGGTTCCTGTACTATGAGTAGGATTGATGAAAACTACTTTAAATAAAAAAAAAAATTAAGCAACTTAGAATGGCAAACAAGCTGACGGCCCACCTGATAGAAAGTGGTAACCGTCGCCTATAGACACGAGCAATTCCCGAGGATTTGAGTGTTATCCCTCTCCTATACACATGAGCAGTACCATGGACATAACAGAGTATACTGTTTCGCCCATGATACCCCCCATGCGTTGCCATTCCTGAGGATTTAGGTGTTATTCCTCTGTATTCAGTAAATTCACGCCATATCCCACCATTCAAACCGAAACACAGCCATGCAAACACAACAGGTTTCCGGTTGAAACACGAATGGGACAGAGGTCCCTAAGCAATCGACTTTTATACAAAGTCTCCCTCTGGTATACTTTACCATCTATTTTGTCGTATTCTTATGTAAGAATTCTGTTTAAAATTGCATTTTATTACGTATGAAATAAAGTTTTCAATCCTAATACAGTTTGTATACATACAATTTACACTTCGTTGAATTACTTAGTTTAATAAATATTTTGCACCATCTTTTATATATATAAATCTAGTTTAATATGGCATTAGTTTATGCATACCTATATATAGATCATGTACCGCTAGATGGAGTTAGTTTCCATACAATTGGGCATGGGCAATATCGGTATCGCTCAGATATCTATATATCGGGTATTGGACATTGATGGCGGGAAAAAGGCCATCACCTATTTCCATATTGCTACCATCTAATATCTATATAAATTTCTATATTATATATAGGACAATCGATATTATATTCGTTATTGTTGCATTATATATATATATAGAATAGAATAGAATAGAATAGAATTTTATTGCTAACTGTGTACATACATATAGCAGTAACTATTGCTTTGAATTTGACATCAGTATCAACAGTTATACCCTATCGGGCATGCAACAATTTAAGAACAGGTAATTATATTAACATCGAAACATTCAATACTATTATTATTGATTATATATGAAATATTATACAATACAATTAACAAGACAAAGAATAATCATAACCAAATTAAAATAAAATAAACATAATTTCGCTTACATGTCAATTATTATTAATTATTAATTTAATTAGTTTTAAGATTGAAGTATTCATTTAAATTATAAAAAACATTATCAAAAAGCCAGGCTTTGAGTTTAATTTTAAACATATATATTTAATGTTTAAGGGAAGATGATTAAATACTTTAATACCCATTATAATTGCACTATATATATATATATATATATATATATATATATATATATATATATATATATATTAACAAAAACACACAATTCCATAATATATATGTACATATATACAAACCTATTACCTACACACACATCTAGTAATAATTTTTATCCATGTGTGAGTGAATAGGGACGTTAGGGATGGGAGGGATAGGAGGTAGGAATAGAGAATAGGTGTTATTACTTTGTACATGGGAGAAATATATATTGAAAGGTTTATTAGGAAAAACTAAATACAGAATTCTCGCTTTATGGATTGTAGGGGGGGGGGGGAGAGACAAATGTTAGTTTTTATGGGACCAATCTGTAAGAGTACCCTTTTAGATAAAAAAAAAAAGAATATTCCAAATCCGAACGTAAAAAAAAAATACAATACGAATAAAAACCTCCTTTTTTTAAGTCAATTAAATAAATATATATCATACATTAAAAAAACTTACAAATAGCAACACCGAATACAAATGTTTGTACTGTCCGGGAAAAGAACCCGCGACCAATCGGAAGATGACGCACTATTATACTGCTACACCATACCGTGATCATTGTTGAATACAACTGCCAATATGATTATTGTATTTGGAAGGGGACCGAATCGTTATGGGGACGGTAGTCACCAACGCTCCATCTAGGTGTATATGACCTATTAAACAATCTTGCACCATATCACTATGTACATTAAAAACATAACAAATAAACTCCAAACCTTGATCGACGTATAACGTCATTAATTTAAAGACACCAAAAGATGTCATTTTAATAACTACCCTCTTATTTATAAAATAAAAAAAATTACTTCCTTTCTGTTAGGAACAAGTCGCCAGTTTTGGGGGTAAAGGATAGTGGATGAGGGTGAAAGCAAGTCAGTCATCCCATCGTGACGAATTAGAATTAAATACGATGGTTTCCAGGGGGTGCCGCGTGGAGGTCGATCTGACATATCTAATAGGTTGTTATCAGCTGTCGTTTAGTTAGCAACATATCCTGTCAGATCTTACACGCAGTCCCCCGAAAAACCAAGGTGGTTTTTTTGATGGGTGAAAATGGTAAACCCCGCCTGCGCTAACGGGATACGCTGGCGGAGCACCAGTGAAGGGTGATAGATGAGAATGAAAACAGGCCAGTTAGCCCATCATGATGAATTCATCAGGAATTAACCATGATAGTTTCCAGGGACAATCGCGAGGAGATCGACCTGGTTGGGTATATTGCTAGCAATGGGATTCTCAGTCTCCATTACTAACAATCCCTTTCCCCCAAACCAAGGTGGTTAATATCCAGTGAATTCATCACAATAGTACAAATAATCTGACTTTATCCCCGTCTATTATTCCTGACTGGTACCCCGTTAGCATAAACCAATACTGCAAGCGAGCTTAGTATTCCATTTTCGTCAGTATAAAAAAAAAAAACTTTTTTTTTTTAATAAATAAGAAGGCAGCATTTACTAATCGCCTGTCATAACAATATTTTTTATAATTGGGGAAATGAGTTATCAATATTTTATTATAATCATTTTTTTTATACTCAGCACAATTAAATACCGCACATTACTGTATGATACGTAACCACTTACCATCAGGTGAGCCGTATGCTTGTTTGACACCTCAGTAGTATTTAAAGAAAAAAAGCTGATGGATAGTGGTAACCGTCGCCTTTACAACTTTGTTTTTAAGAATATTTTGTTATGTTATTATGAGTATTGCGGATTTATTAACTTTTTTTGTTTTTTTTTTAATTTTCAAATGACAAAATTCGATACATATATCTATATATAAAGATTGTTTCATAATTGTGCCAAATATAAAAAAAAAACAGACCACATTCGAATAGACGTCTTGATACGTCAATAGGCGCTTCTATAATTTACCATAGCAAGACACGATATCGTACGGTTTTATCGTCACGATATCATAGAAGGGCATGGGCAATATCGATACCGCTTCGATATCTCTATATTATATTACTCTGGACATATATATCTGTCTATCCAGTCCGCATTAACCCACTGCTGGGCATAGACCTTCTTTTATCGCGCCACTTGTAACGGTCCTGCTCTAACGTCATCCACTGCTTTCCCACTACTGCATTATGTAATACGACCACTGGGTTGGCGGTCTAACGTCTGTCTTTTGCCCCTCTCTTGGGCACTATTCTGGATATTGACGGTAAAAAACAGTTTTCGTCCATTTTATTATCATCTATATTGATCCGTTGCTTCAATTCTATATATATTCCATTACTTCCTTCAAGAGAAGACTGAAATCACACCTTTTAATCAATTGTACATGATAATTCTATGCACTTATATATATGCATATATATTTATCTATTTACTTATTTACGTATTCATTTATTTATTTACATATTTATTCACAATAGTGTTTGTTGTATTTACATTATTTTCACCGGTACCTTTCCTGCACTGGTTTACCCAAATTAAATTATTTTCTCTCTAACTACACTGGGTTGGCTGGAAAAGATCTCTTTCAGAGATAAGTCCTTCCTTGCTAACAAGTTGTTAAACTAATTGTCGAATATATTGTTTAAGTGCAATAAAGAAATATATATATATATATATATATATATATATATATATATATATATATATATATATATATATATATATATATATATATATTGTAACCTTTAATAGTAGAGCAAAATGTATGCATTATTGCATAGAAATATTTTCAAATGTCCGTGCACGACCACGATATCATTGCGGAAGTCTTCCGTATATTATATCGTATACATTTTACTCTCCTACTATATCGTGACGGTAAAATCATACGGTATCGTGACGATAAAATCATACGATACCGTGACGGTAAAATCATACGATATCATGCCGTACCGCGGTTAATTATAAAAAGAATTAGACGCGTACAGACGTCCTCAACATTTTTATTTTACAAAACAATACTTATGTTACAATTTAGAAAATAACAAACCAAATAAAAAAAACAACTTCACAAGAGATCCGTGTCATCTTAGTTATTATAGAGAAAAAAAAAAATACTAAATTTACAAATACTTCAAATATAATACAATGGTATTTATATACAGGATGGTTTTTACATGTGCGCACATTTTCTTTTTTTTTTTTTATCAATTATGTACATTAATTTCGAGTACTAAAACTGCCATTTCTCTTACGTTACAAAAACGAGTCTGTTTTAAATTGAAATTTTTCATAAATCTAACACGCTTACACTATCTACGAAATACCTCGTCTACCATCGGTGTGTCTAACTAGACATGTTAGCCTTTCCATCAGGAAGGCCGACAGTTTGCTTGTCATTCCCAAACCGCAGGCAAATTTCAATAACTTCCCTTTTCCAAAATCCAAATAATATCATAAATATAAAAGTCAGTTTGTTTGTTGCCATTTAGCGCCTTAACGGCTGAATTAATCACTGTGAAATTTGATGTACATATATTAAATGCATTTACACTATGTATAAATACATATATAACATGTATTCACCCCTATAATGGAGAAGAACATAGGCAACTATGTATTCCGGTCACATGGAACGACGTTGCGGTCCAAAGTATATAAAAATAGGTATATCTTTTTTTATTATACATTCCAATGGCAAACAAAATACTCTTTTAATGCGCATTCAAAAAACATCCTGTATTCATAAAAAAGAAAAAAAAACGAAGAAGCATTGCTGCTATAAAAAAAAAAAAAACTATCGTGTTACAAATACAGGTTTTAAAACATAATAGGATTACTGATTATTATTAGTAATTATAGAACATCGAATGTCTTTTAGCGATCAACAGGGTTTTGCGCGAAAAAAATTGCCATCTGTTACATGTCACCAGGGCAAGGGCTAGGCCCATGACTTAGGTCACGGGCCTAGCGACGGCCCTTCATCGTGCCTCCCACCAAACTGTTTATAACTACTCCTCTCCATCCAAAGGTTGCCTGGAAGAGATCGCTCTTAGCGATAAGGCCGCCCATTGTTGTCTCACTGTGATCATTTCTTGTAATTGTTTGTATCTATAATAAGTTTACTATTGTAATCTTTTGGAGGGAACAATAAAGAGTATCTATCTATCTATATAAGGTAGGGCAAAAGAACTTTTTGTTAGGACAGAAACTATTATAAAGTGACTTCGAAAAAGCGAATCTGTCTAATTTTCTTGGTGCCCTTCATTTTAAGGTAGGGTATTGGGTCTTTTAAAAAAACTTATTGGTCGGTCAGAAGCCATAATTCACTTTGAAAAAGCGAATCTGTCTTATTTACTTGGGACCCTTCATTTTAAGGTATGTCATTGTCCCTCAATCCCCCCCCCCCCCTCCAGCTAGAGCTATGGCATTTCACTATACATTTTTATTGTTAAACCAATAAATACTAATTAACAAATTACACAGCGTCAAATAATTCAAAACTAATTAAAAAACTATGGATACAATGGAGACTGAGAATCCCATTGCTAGTTAATTCGCGGTTCTCCCTGATATCATGGTTAATTCATGAGTTCATCATGATGGGCTAACTGGCCTGTTTTCATTCTCATCTATCACCCTTCACTGGTGCCCCGCCAGCGCAGGCGGGTTTTTCTTTTAATAGGTGATAATAGAATGGTAACCCCAGCCGCGCTATTGGTATACACCGGTGGGGCACCAGTGAGAGGTGATAGGTGAGGATGAAGCAGGTCAGTTAGCCCATCGTGACGAATTCAACAAGAATTGTTCACGATGGTTTCCAGGGGGAACCACGTGGAGGTCGACCTAGCAATGGGGCTGTCAAACTCCATTGCTAACAATCCCTTTCCCCCCTGCGCAGGCGGGGTTACCATACCATTTTCACCTATCAAAAAAAAAAAAACCTCTACACAGATGGCAAATTTTTTAGAGCAAAAATTATAACTTATTTTTAATAATAATAAAAAAAAATACTAATTGTTAGTAAGTACAATTTGTTATTATTTAAACCTAATAGTTAAACGTATGGTAAACATTATAATCAGTGTCTGTTTTAGTTAGTCGCACAGATAGGCTCATACTTGATCCTTATTCATAAAAAAAAAACAAGTTCAAACATTTAATAAACCCATTTTAACTAAAGAACCGTTTTGTCTTTTTATAATACTAAAAAATTTGATACATTTGTTTTGTTGACACAGTATTTTATCGCGTCACGCGAAATACTAGCCACCCTTTGTAACTCATGACTGCGTCATCTCGCAGTGCTCTGTCTAGCCATTTTGCTTCACCGTACAAAAAAATAATAAAGGTAAGAAAGAAGGAAGGGAAGGAAAACTAATAATTTCTTTCCTTTATAATAAATAACCAAGTTGAGTAAGAGACAATTGCAGCCATTTGTATTTTTGCTGTATTTTCTTGAGAGAGAGACTGGCTGTAAACCAGCGCTGTGCAGCTGTACACATTGCGCTGGGACACTCACAGCATCAGCTGAGCCGGTTCCTTTTGCCTAATATGGAACACTTTTTATATAATATTTATAATATTTTTTGGGCGGCGGTAGTCACCTACCATCAGGTGAGCCGCATGCTCGTTTGCCCCCTGTGTTGTAAAAAAAAAAAAAAATATGCATTTTCTACTGTCTTTTTCTCAATGTCCTCTAACCAAAGGTTGTCTGGAAGAGATCGCTTAGCGATAAGGCCGCCTTTTGTATCACTTCTCATTAATATTTACTGTATTTGTTATTTCTCTTTTTATTTGGTGCAATAAAGTGTAAATAAATAAAAAATAAAAATAAATCTTTTCTATTCTATTCTATTCCATGTTACCTTCCAGTAATCCCATTTTGTCGCTCTCTTATCTACAACCTTGTGTCCTCTTTCTTACCTTGGCGCCTTAATAACACATCATGAAATCTAAAATAGAAGTATATGTACAATTTGGATGGGGAAAAACATAAGGTACTTTTTATTACGCAAACAAAGTCACGAGTAAAAACTAGTACACAATACTATTACAAGAAAAGACAAAAAACACCAATAATTAAAACGAGTTTATATGTTTTACTTTTTATAAATAAGGATGTAATTCTATACAGGTTTGCCGTAACAGACATATTACAAGCCAGTACCAGTTTTACCATAACAATAACTAGTTTCTGACTTGATATATCCATTCCGATGCAGCCTGTACGCAAATTTATCGATCTGGGGTTTTTTAGATCGATCGGTGACCCCGCCATCTTTGGGGGTAACTTTGAGAAGTCACCCAAAAGATATATAATGAACACAGACATAAAAGTAGATAAACGAGGTAAATGAGTAACCCCAGTCTACATTAAAACTAAGCGTCAAATATGTCAAATACGTCTTCTACTTATCGTGATGTTTTGAAAAAGGAACACGTCGAGATTATTTACCAAAGACAACAACAAAAAAAAAACATGGTACAAGAAAAAAATTAATATAAAATAAAAAGTAAACAACGTTACTTCGTGTAATTAAAAAAAAAAAAAAACAGTATTTTTTTTATTCGATCACAATTGTACATTTAAAAAACCAAGGAACCAGTGTTACAAGTTACAGAGAACTTGTAAACGTAATAATACCAGACTAATATACAAATAATACTACCATACTGAGGTATCGTTACACACTCGTGTCACATTTTAATACTACGTTCGAGATTTTTCTTACATATTTGTTGCAATTTTTAAATACATCCTATGAGATTTTTACACACTGTTAACAGTTTTAATACTGTGTATTGAATTTTTACACATTCGTCTAATTTTTTTTTTTAATTTAAGTTTTTTTCCGTCACTTGAATACTATATTTCAAACATTTTTACACACTTCGGTTACGGTCGGTTTTGAATGGTTGGTTATCCTAAATTTGGTCTAATACTTAGGACCCTTTTACAAATCTTACGTAAAATACACATATTTTCTGTTCTGTCGACCTATTCTCGTCATATTGGCGCACAGCTCTTGATCTCTGCAAAGAAATTGATTTCACACAATTACACACAGGACAATATTGACAAATGTAATAGCTGGAAGATTGTTTACCGGCTATTATCAGAAATAAAAGATATTAATCTTGGCTAAGCGTGTTTAATACGTGTTCCCTCGGCAAAGATTAAAACAGGAATGAATGACAGCCAGTCTATTCATTAGTGCCCTCTCCAACAATTATAAATACAAAAAAAATATGTAACGGATACATGATCGAATCAATTGGAATACTTAAATTCTAAATTAAAACAATTGACATTCCAATAATCTAATTAACATTTACGTGACAATATTTTATTAACATCGTATTATAAAATATTGCATTGTATTTATTAAATAAATATACTAACATTTAATAATTGAATTATAACAACGTTAACAACAATCAATTGACTATCTATTTATAGTAATAGTAAATAATAAAATATATTTGTATAAAATATAATCATATAGTCTAACCAATGTAAACAATCTTTTAAGAGAATCAATAAAAATTAAAATTTTGCTATAAAAAAAAAAAACATACACAAAAACAAAAACACAAAAAAAAAACTTCTCAATTGAAAGTGTATTACTTAATCATTGCTGTCCATATCTGAACTGTAGCGACATGGATTTTAACTTTTTTATATATTAATAAACCTGACTTTATGGAGACTCCTTATTATACATGGTTTCTTTCATACATGCACTTGTATTACTTGCATACGCCCACTCTAACTCGCCTGCCTCGCTTTGGAATATATATATATATATATATATATATATATATATATATATATATATATATATATATATATATATATATATATATATATATATAATATATTATATTTTACAAAAAAATATATTTTTATACAACTTAGAATGGCAAACAAGCTGACGGCCCACTTGATGGAAAGTGGTAACCGTCGCCTATAGACATGCCCATGATACCCCCCCATGCGTTGCCATTCCTAAGGACTCAGGTGTTATTCCTCTGTGCCCAGTATATATATATACAGTATATATATATATATAGTAGTGTATATATACACTAGCTGTATATATATATACTTTATTTGCTTTGAATAGGTAATGACCTATGGTGCCTATGGTGCCTATCCATCAAAACCGGAACATATTGCTCAACAAAAACCAAGTGGGATAGAAGTATCCATGGAAACAATTTATAGAGTATATACCTGTGGTAACGTGTTACCACATCGCATCGTGTTACACAAATATACATCCACAGAATATTTTGTTAGCAATGGCGATTAGCGCCCCCATTACTAACAAAAGTTCCCTCCAAATGGCGGGGTAACACACGTAAGTATGTGCAAAAAACGTTACCCCTAACATTGATAGCCAAATGAAACTCACCTAATATCACCCCATCCGCCGTTTCCTTTCACCAGTTTCTTATTGTGTTTCGTACCACCAGCAGTGATTGTAGCAGTCACTCTTGACGGGTACATGTACGATTTTGCGTTTTGCAATAACTTTTGCACTTTACTGATGACTGTCGATGCGTTACAGTTGGATTTTTTGTGGTGGAAACCGCTGGAAATGTTAGGAACAAAATTATCAAGCAACTTGCCTGATGATAAATTAAAATGATGTATAGGCCAATAACTGACGAACAATTGAGATAAACCTAGTTCTCGCTTGGTTAATTTTATGAAACTTAGAATGACAAACAAGCTGACGACCCACCTAATAGAAAGTGGTAACCGTCCCCTATGGACTTGAGCAGTACCATAGACATAACAGAGTATACTGTTTTGCCCATGATACCCCCCATGCGTTGCTATTCCTGAGGACTCAGGTGTTATTCCTCTGTACCCTGTAAATTCAATGCCATATCAAACCGAAACACAGCCATTCTTTACAGTAGAAACACGAGTGGGACAGAAACACAGTTACGCAATACAACTAGACAAAATTTTGTATAAGGTAGTTAACATAGTATAGTGAGGGGAAAGGGATTGTTAGTAATGGAGACTGAGAATCCCATTGCTAGCAATATACCCAACCAGGTCGACATCTTCGCGGTTCCCCCTGGAAACTATCATGGTTAATTCCTGAAACTGGCCTGTTTTCATTCTCATCTATCACCCTTCACTTTTATCCCGTACGCAGTCTCCCACATGGTTTGTTGTATTTTTGTCAATATCAATTGAATATACATTCAGACATAAATTTTGTAGATATAATAAATCTGTAGAGATAAGGAAATATATTTAACATCAGAAAACAAAAACTAGTGACGGATTTTAACGAAACTTGGTATTCTTCGTTAGGTTATATACATTTTTCATCACGCTACGATCAATAGGAGCAGAGCAGAGGGAAATATTGGGAAAACCCCATTGTCTGTGCAGTCTTAATGGCTACTTTTAAAATGTAAAAATGTAGTGCGACGCCGGGACGGGCCGCTAGTTTAAAATAATTAGTTACACCACAACTAACACTTTTTTGTGGCAAAATCTTAAATTATACTGGGTTAATATCACATCGGTCAACTGAACATTGTTAACATAGGGGGAAAGGGATTGTTAGTAATGGAGTCAAATAGCCCCATTACTAGCAATATGCCCTGTCAGGTCGACCTCCACGTGGTCCCCCCTGGAAACCATCATGGCTAATTCTAGTTGAATTCGTCAGGATGGGCTAACTAACCTGCCTTTTCATCCTCACCAATCATCCCTCACTGGTGCCCCGCCAGTTTATACCGATAGCGCAGGTGGGGTTACCATTTCATTATCACCCATTAAAAAAAAAACGGCTATTAATAATAGTAAATAATATATGAGCCAATCCTGCGAAACTCACCATTCACCAATATGGAACACCCGAGGCCCTTTACACAAGATAACTTTGAACTTCTCCCGTCCTGGCCTATTCTGTGACAAATGCAAGAGGGAATAGTCCCAATTGTAATCGTCGTACGCACAAAATTGATCTTGCAGCTCCATTATGTAGTTCCACACTGTTCTGTTGAACGCGAAACCCATATTGTGCATGCTGGAATGCCACGGTGTGATTTCCACCTGAAATGGTAAGTTTTAGTAGATTTTAAAACTGGCAACTGTAGCAGGAAGGGGGGTAATTTTAGATATATCTAGGGCACATTTATAAGGCTTTGTATTTTTTAAAAGATCTTAAAACACTTATTTTTTTATATATTTATTATGGTCTATTTAGAGTAAGTATTTGGGGCACATTAAATACAATTACTCCTTTTATATTATTTAATTATTAAGTGGGGTAATTTTAGATATATTTGGGGCACTTTAAAAAGGCTTTGTAATTGTTTAAAAGATCTTAAAACTCTTTTTATTATGGTCTATTTAGAGTAAGTATTTGGGGCACATTAAATGCAATTACTCCTTTTATATTATTTAATTATTAAGGGGGTAATTTTAGATATGTTTGGGGCACTTTAATAAGGCTTTGTAATTTTTTAAAAGATCTTAAAACCCTTTTTATTATGGTCTATTTAGAGTAAGTATTTGGGGCACATTGAATACAATTACTCCTTTTATATTGTTCAATTATTTAAGAGTATTACATATATGTTAGCTCTATAGATAGACATATAAACTAATTTCTGGAATAAATTTTAAACTATTTAATTACTGTGACTATCTATGGAGAGACAGGAATTAATGGGCATCAGTAATTAAAAGGTGGTAAGACATATAAAGACTATGTAAAACACCGGTCATTTAATTTTAACTACAAGGAGTTAATCATCAATTTTATTTTTATTTATTTTTAATTTTTCAGTAATTCACTTACATTTCACGTTCACTTACGTTTCATATATTATATATAAAAAAAAAAGAATTTAAAAAAACTATTAATGACAATAATATCTTTACAAGCGTGAAAGAGTAAGACATAAAGGAGAATCAGGAAGGAAGTATGCATTGCTTTTACAAAACCAAACACAACAGACGATTAGAACATTAGAAAGAGAGAGCTTGAAAGCTATGGGGAAATTAAATGAGACATGACAACTTGCATGAAAGCTTGTAGTACCCAGATTTATTACACATTGCAATATACTGATGAAAACTATAGTCATGCTTCAAACTGCAAACCAAGCGATATCAAAGGGCTTAATACAAACTTTTAAAAGCTCATATCAATACAAACTAGACTGTTTGTCTATGCTTTTAGCTCTAGATTGCAAAATAGCTGAATTTAATCTGTAAAACAGTCAGGTTTTTAAACGTTTGTTATAAGCCCCTTGGGGTAACAATAAAAATGGGGGTAACTCTTAATATGTATCAGTGTCTGAAGTTTCTCATATTTACTGATCAAAAATTAAAAAGTTTAAAGTTAAATACATGTATAAATTTTCAATTATTAAGCATATTTAATATAAAATCGTATATAACAAAATTTAAACTTTTTTAAATAATATATTTTCTTTATAATTATTTTAAATAAATTTCATATTCAATGTGTGAAGATGAATAAAGTATGATTATTGAACTTAACTTATTTACAATTTTATTAACATTTCTTATTGATTATTAAAAAAAAAGAAATCTATTTTTACAACACCGTTTCTTTTTGTACTATAATCGGCAAATAGCTCTCAAGAATAAAATAAAAATAACACAGAAAAAAAAAACAGAATTTTAACAATTTAACGAAATTTGTAAGCTACTTGATAATGTAAAGCATTTTTAAGATGCAACACACGTGGCAGAATAACCATTCCTGTTTCTACCGTGAAGCAGTTGTGTTTGCATGGCTGTGTTTCGGTTTGAAGGGTGGGATATGGCGTGAAGTTACAGGGTACAGAGGAATAACACCTGAGTCCTCAGGAATGGCAACGCATGGGGGGTATCATGGGCGAAACAGTATACTCTGTTATGTCCATGGTACTGCTCACGTCTGTAGGCGACGGTTACCACTTTCCATCGGGTGGGCCGTCAGCTTGTTTGCCATTCTAAGTTGTATAAAAAAAAAGCCAATGCAAATTTTACAAAGCCATACAATCACAATTTCTGATATAAGCTGTAACAATTACTAAATATAAATAACATACAGTTTTATATTAAGGATATTTTCATATACTAGTTTTTACCTACGACTTTGTCCGCATGACAAGGATACATTTATTTAATGGAAAAAGTTGTCTATATCTTCTTGTATCCCATATGATACGTTTATACCAAATTTCATAGCGATTGGTTAAACCGTTAAGCCTCTATAAGGTAACAAACAAATTCACTTTCGCATTTTTATAAAATTAGGAAGGATGCGGTGTTTGCAACAAGATAAATATACTCAAGTTAGAAAAAGGATTTTACTTATCAAGCGCAATGCAGTTTATTATGAAAAGTACATGCAATTTTCATGCTACTATCTAAATTGTCCTCTTGTAATCGATAAGAAAACATGAAAGAAATGTCTGAACAAATTTCACGCATTATTTACATTTCTATTATAAATTAATTGTAAACATTAGAAAATCTAAACACAAAACATATTGAAACTAATATTAAATATATAATAAAATACAATTTACTAAAACATACCTTTTGAATTACGAAAAAAACAATACTACAATAGCAATAGAGAAGTCTACAGTAATTATTAAATTTGTTACATTATTAGTTTTAGATAACAATTACCCCAAAATAATCGGGGGTAACGTCTGACTAAATCTTATGATTAGGTATCGTGGATTAAGAATATCGACAATAAATTTATTACCCCCATATATTTCTTTAACAAAACACAATATACTCACTAGAAAAATATATGGTTTAATAATTTTACACAGAAAAGTTTGTAAACATTCAAATTACATTTTGTAATCACCAAATACAGCCAGAACCAAAGCAAAAGCTTTCAATGGGTGTACTACAGCTTGGCTATAATTTAAATAGAAATTTAATGCAGGATTATCAAGACTGACAAATGATTGTACATTATATCGTCATAGTCGTAGAATACTGACGGATCTGACGAAGATTACATATAAAGATCCGTCGGTATTCTATGACTATGACGATATATTCTATTTACACATTACTAAGCATTAATATACATGATTAATTCAAACTGCATCAATATCATTACAAAAAAAACAACATAATTACAACTATATTAAAGAACATTGTCATGGTCTTTTGTAGAGACAATATATATTTACAGTATATTCTGTAATATTCATGCTTAGTTTCATCATCATCATCATCATCATATCAGCCATTAACTGTCCACTGCTGAACATAGGTTTCTCCCATAAATGGGGGTTTAGTCAGTAGGATTTGCAATTGCAATTAGGCTTTAACGATGTTTTAAAAAGGATGCTGCTGCCCATCCCTCACCGTCCCTTAGTTGCCTTTTATGACAGCAATAGGAAAGGAAGGGTGGCCTATTCTATGCCGAGACCACTCGGCATGTTGTGGTTTACTTTTTTTTTATGTATATGGTAAGGGCAAAAAGCTAACGGCCCAATTGAGGGAAAGTTGTAACAGTCGCCTATAAAGATGAAAATTACTGATCCATGTTACCCCACGCGTTGCTATTACTGAGCACCTCTAAATTGATATATATATCACCGAGTGACCCCGGCATAGAATGGGCCACCCCTTCCTATCCTAAATGATCGAGGGATGGTCAGCAGTCCCTTTTAAATCATCAAAGCCTAACTGCAGTCACCAATCCGCCTGCCAAGCGTGGCAACTATTAGCAAATCCCCGCTTATGCCTATGCCCAGCAGTGGACAGTTAACGGTTGATATTATAATAATAAAAAACTGAAATACAATCATGTGAACAGTGCATTTTGGTGGTAGAAGCATGAGTGGGATTAGATGCACCCATGCAGACGAATTACGTACAAAAAGGTTCCTTCTGGCTTATAATTATATGCGACTGTTACCATGAATTGCCCCCTTAGACAAAGTAGAAACGAATCGGCATAGGTAATATGGATACCGAACCGATATCTATATAGATATATATATTTTTTACAACACAGGGGGCAAACGAGCATGCGGCTCACCTGATGGTAAGTGACTACCGCCGCCCATGATCACCCACAACACCAGCGGCATTGCAAATGTGCTGTCGGCCTTTTAAAAAGGAATATACTCTTTTCTTGAAGGTTATGTTGTCGTATCGGTTCGGAAATACTGCTGCTGGAAGTTGATTCCAAAGAATGGTTGTGCGTGGAAGAAACTGCCTTGAAAAACGCACGGTGGAAGACCATGTATATTAGGTTCATATGAACATTAATGGTGGAAAACAGGTCATCATCCATTTTGATATCGCCGATATCGGTCGGATATCTATTTTCGAATATGTTAAAAGTCTGTCATCCAAAATTATTTTTTGGATAACAGACTTTTAACATACTTGTTATTAGACCAGTATCTAGATATTGTAACTAATATATATAGATATTGCTATATATTATTCACCACTACAAATGAATCGATTGAATCGTCAGCGTTCATATGTAAAAGAACAAGACGACAAATATCGCCGTCTCATTCTATGTCATGAAGTCGCTAACGATGTCAATTCTATAAATAGATTCGGTTGTACTTTGTCTAGGAGGACGGGACTATCGGCGAATTGTCTAGTTCAAATAGTATAAAAAATTCTAGCATAAATAGCTATTTAAACTTAATGTAATAAAATACTATGAGAAAATACTGGATAAGCATCCCAAATCACCTGTGCATGCAAGTTTAAGAACAGAAAGGCATGATTGGATGCAAATTGAAAGCTTATAATACAATAGATAAGAAATCACATACACAAAGATCTATCTAAACCCTTTTTACAATTTCTATGTGTGCGTGACATTGTACATATAGTCAAACATTACAAAATACGAAATAATGCTCACAGCTATATTCCCTGATGGGGTAGTCAGAGCTATCTGTCGACTGTTGCCGCTGTGGTGAATGTAACACTCGACTTGCCCATTATTCATTGAACTTATTAGAATGTAAATGTGACAGGAGTAACAGCCGTTAACTGTCCACTGTTGAACATACGCCTGCCCCATACGGAGGGTTTTGCCAGTAGTTGCCACGCTTGGCAGGCGGGTTGGCGACCGCAGTTAGGCTTTAGGTGATGTTTTAAAAGGAACGCTGCTGTTTATCTCTAAACCAATATTATATTTAATTTAAAAATTTAAATATATACAGTTAATAAAACCAATGTTATCGCAAATATTTACTGAAATTTTCTTAAGTCCAATTAGATAGATATAAAATTTATTGGCTTCTTAAACACACACATAAAACTACAATTACACGAAAAACATATTGCATTATTCATGAATAATTTCTCAACTACTTCACCTTTCTAAACCTTGCGCAAATACAATTTTTTTATCAAAAAAAAAATAGGTAAAATACTATACCGAATATGGCAACACTGAATTAAACGTATCAAAATTTATTTGCATCTTCAGCAAACACATAAAAATACAATTACACGAAAAAAATATAGCATTATTCTTAACTAAGTCACTTTTCTACACCTTGCGCGAACACAATTTTTTTACCCAAAATTAGGTAAAATATACCAAATGTGGCAACACTGAATTGAACATTTCCTGAATGAAATCAAATTTTACATCTATTCCGTGCACAATGTCGCGCATTGATGTTAACAATAATAAAATATTGTAACTGAACACGAATGGGTAATTTGCGTCTATCTAAAAATCTCCTTGTAACATCATAATACATACACACATACAGCGCAAAATTAATTTCATATTACATCTATACTAATATATTATCCATGTGGTTCCGGCATAGAACGGACTGTCCCTTCCTTTCCAGTGGGTTTCGTAATAGGCGACTAAGGGAACTTAATAGTCTAAGGATGGACAGCAGCGTCCCTCTTAAAACATCACTAAAGCCTAACTGCGGTTGCCAACCCGCCTGCCAAAAGTGGCAACTACTGGTAAAACTTATAGGGAAGGCCTATGTTCAACAGCTGATTTAATAAATATATAAAAATACAAAGTGGAAGAGTTTGTTTGTTCGTTTCAAATCTACCATTCAGATTAGAAAAAATATTTTTGCATTTGATAGCTGATTTTATAAGGCTATTCGATATCATAATATAAACATGGGCGAAGTCGAGGGACACACTTAGTTATTCATAATTAAATAACATATCTATGATATAGGGGATGAGTATATGTTTTCAGATAAAAAAATCTTTCAAATCGGTTTACAACTAACGGAGTTATGGGGTGACAAACGCACGCATGCTAAAGGTAAAAGAGTTAAGGGGCCGCCTGAAAATCAGCGCTATATAGGTACATCTCGCTGGAGCTGTACATATATAGCAACAGCTGAGGCGGTTCCTATTACCAGCAACATTGTTTTTTTTTTCTTTTTATTGTTTTAATTTATTATTTTCTTAATACTGGTAATAAAGGTTATCTATCTATCTATCTATATATCAAATAAAAAAATACAATCGAATTGACAACTTCCCTTCTTTGAAATCGGTTGAATAAATAAATTACATGCAATAAACTTAAAACTTATAACAGGAACAGGTTGTCTGACAAACAATAAAATCATTCCTTTTTAATAAAAAAAAAAAAACCATTTATAATAATGGCAACATATTATAGTCAGGGCCGGATTATCTATTAGGCAGTGTAGGCAACTAGTAGGCCTAGGTGCCCTCATCGGCCAGGGGCCCCACGCACCGAGAGTTTCTTTAAAAGAAAAGTATGTAACATTTAAAAATTTGTATATAACTAATACTCAAGTAAATTTGAATTTGTTTTTTTATTATAACAAGGTCATATACCGTGTTATTTAATAACATATTTCAAATTATATGATGAATAACATTACAGCAGTTTTTTTTGTCGCGGCACATGCATCGCCTAGGGCCCCCGACTTGACTAATCTGGCACTGGTTAGAGGTGAGTAAAGTCGAAAACATACTATCGGACGCGTCCGTCAGACGGAGACTGACCACAAGGAGACTTTGTACAAAAGTCGTTCGCTTGGACACCTCTGTTCCATTCGTGTTTCTACCGTGAAGCAGTTGTGTTTGCATGGCTGTGCTTCGGTTTGAAGGGTGGGTTATGGCAGTGAATTTACAGGGTACAGAGGAATAACATCTGGGTCCTCAAGAATGGCAACGCATGGGGGTATCATGGGCGAGACACTACGCCCTGTTATGTCCATGGTACTACTCTTGTCGATAGAGAGAGAGAGAGACAGAGAGAGAAATAGCCAGTATGGGTTATATTTTCTTAATTTTCTGTCCCCGAAATTTTGGAGAAATGAAATTATTGTAGAAAAATTAAATAACTCTGAAGATATATGGCTACATTTTTTGGTAGTTTTGGTACTTGTAAACCATATAGCGATATATTTTATATGAATAAAGGTAGCAAAACAGAAGAGGGCATACGAAAAGGAAGCTAAAGTAGAAAAATACAGAGTCGCGGTCTTTTTCGTCGTTCGCTTTGTAATACGCAAAACATAGTGAAAATTGAAACAAATTTGTAATTGGATAAAAGGAACTGTAAAACAAAAAGCCTAACTGCGGTTGTCAACCAGCCTGCTAAGCGTGGCAACTACTGGCATGAGGAGGCTACGTTCAGCAATAGATAGTTAAAAGCTGATGCGAAAAGCAAAAATCGTATCGATTTTGAGAAAAAATATTTCACGTTTTGGTAAAAATCAAAAGTCGAATGTGACAGTCTTGAAAATAGTCGAAGGATCGTCACAAATTCATCAGCCACGTCTGTCAGTTACCGCTGATGGACGGCTCCAATAGTATATTCACGCCTTTAAATTGTAAGAACAGTACAACAAAAACCTTTTGCGTGGCCGAGTAGATGTTCGGGTACACTTGAAAGTTCCATGTTTGCGTCTCCTGTTGCCTCCTCCGCCTCTCTTCGTTGGCCGCTTTCACTTGCTGGATGTAGCTGAGCGTTAGTTGCTTCTTTCTCTGTATTAAGATTTAGTATTTCTTCACGATTTCGAAGAATAATGTAACGAATATCAAAACGACTATGTAAAAAATTGAGGTCACATTTTCAAAGAATGTATATTCCGAAAAAAAAAAAACTTTAAATAGGTTTAGATCTTTGGGTAATATTAGCTAAAAATTAAAATATATAAATTGTCTCGCTTATTCTCTATATTGTATAATGCGAATAAAGTATAGTCATTCATTCATACATTAAAAACGATTTCATCGATGGACTTCTCTGCTACTTGTCTAGAGGGCTCGTCTGGTGGGGAGGTCCTATCTATATATATATATATATATATATATATATATATATATATATATATATATATATATTTACTTATTTAGGTGCTGAATTACTAGGTTACTGCATTGAAGCAATATTTAAAGCACATCGAAAGCTTTCGTGTTTGAGCATCGATTAATATAATTAATGATTGTGCCCCACAAAAAAAAAAAACAACCTCATGTGACTAAACCGGTTATTTTGATCTAAAAAACTAAACCGTTGAACCTATTTTGAAAGTATATCCTTTTTTTTGAAGACCAATCTAAAAGTATATCCTTAGAGATAAAAATAAAAGCATTTCCCAAATCCGCATCACAACTGACGGAGTTATGAGGTAACAATCCTTAAAAAGAAAAACAAATCGAGAATCTCCTTTTTTTTTGGTTAAAAAGGATTACTCGGATTTATAAATTATTTTTTCACTGTAATAAGGTCCTAGATCTGACGTGATGAATGGTGATGGTGATATCACATATGAAGCTCGTTAACTATATAAATAACTTGTTCACCTTTATTTATTGATGGATATTGAACTAACCATAAAGGCATATTAAATTATAATTTAAATTTAAATTTAAAACTTATGTTTAAAACTAATATGTCTGTGTTTCGGTTTGAAGGGTAGGATATGGCGTGAATTTACTGGGTACAGAGGAATAACACCTAAGTCCTCAGGAATGGCAACGCATGGGGGGTACCATGGGCGAAACAGTATACTCTGTTATGTCCATGGTACTGCTCATGTCTATAGGCGACGGTTACCACTTTCCATCGGGTGGGCCGTCAGCTTGTTTGCCATTCTGTTGTATAAAAAAAATTTTTTTTTTTATATAAAAGTTGATTAGAAACTTTTTTTATTTAAAGTCGGGGTCACCAGTTTGGCTGATATTGTTAAGAAGACTCGATGCGGTTTGTGGAGGTGATACTCGTAAATAATGAGAATAATTCAAGATATAAAATGTAAACTTGTATATTGAATAGACATATAGTACATTACTGCAGCGGCCAGCAAATGAGGCATTGATGGACGAACATGCAAATGTGGGCTGAGGCGCAGCCGAGGCACACATACGTGAGGCCATCAATGTCTAGTTGTGGCCAAGGCTTGTATAGTACTTTTCTCAAATAATGCGCGAAAATCAAAAACACAAGTTTACTTTTTAAGTTCAATGACGAATAACGAACAATAATAATTTTTCACGCGCCATAATGTTCCTTTGTTTTTTTTTTCAATAAACAGCTTTCTATTTGCAAGCCAGTTCGAAATTTAAATGAAACCTTGTATTAGTTACCTCCTTGGTAGCCATGTTTCGATGTAAAAGGTCATTCCATTTTTAAATTACAGGATAGATATGGATTTACATAGTAATTTATCTGGCCGCAAAACACGACAGATATGGATTTTCATACAACTTTTGCCGGCCGCTGCCCGCATGTATCTGGCCAGTACGGCAATTTTGATTTATCTCGAAGAAGATTGTCAAAATAATGCTCACATTTCCAAGCATGTTTGAGAAAAATTTGATTATATTGTAAATGTACCACAAAAATAAATTAAATTTGAACTTCGATATGTAATTACATGCGTTTTGATTCTGATTGGTTTTATATTTTCAGATAAATTTTTGTAAATGAGACACAAATGGTGCTGATAGTTGATACTATGTGATAGGTTAATGACAACATAAAAAAACAGACATTTTGTTAATAAAAATACAAGCTTAACGATTGTAACCCCAGACGTTACGGATACATCGTTGACTTTATAATTGTGGGGTAAATATAAACAAATAATCATATCTGGGGTAACATTGATAAATAAATAATGTATAAAGGATTTTTTTGTAATAATTAGAATAGCAAACAATCCAGCGTTTCCCATAAATCTTTTTTTGGAGATACCAGAATCAAATATGTAACTAAGCTACGTTTCAGAGGTGTTACCTCTAGAAAATGCTCAGGTTATGGAATAAGTACTAGACCGATGTTATCCCAAAAGACTATAAGTATGAGGTTCTTAAAAAAAGGGGTAAAGAGGTTTCTCTAGGGTTGGCAATGGGCACGTAATGCCTATAGCATACCAGGAGTTTATAAGTTAAAGTCGTTTACCATCAAATGATTTGTAAGCTTGTTTAACACCTGAGTGGTATAAAAATGTACAAAATTTGAAGTCTTTGCAACCGGTAATCTTAACTGTTAGGTGACAGATCAGTAGAGACTTGTTTGTTTAAAGAAAGAGAGAAAGGTCTTACAAAAAAAAATGGCTATATTATTAACATATTAAATTTAAATTAATGTAAGTTTTGAACTTTATAAATTTTTATATTACTTAGTTTGTTTAACTTAATTTAAACATGTCCTGAGCATGCTACAAGTGAAAAAAAAAACTTAATTAAATTTAAGTGTATAATTAAAATATTTCTATTACATAAAGTTCCAAATTACCCCAAAAAGGTACCTTTTTACAATGTTAATCTAAATAAGATTAATATAATGCCATCCAAAAACTTTTACGAAATATCAAAAAGATATCGCTTTATAACATATAAACATATAGACGATCAAAATTGTCAATAATCAGTTTTGGAAATAATAAACATAAAAGGTAAAATGTAACTTACCTTGTCTCCGTTGACATGGTATTGGTAAGTCTTCAGATAAGTACCCAAAGATAAAATCTCGCACTGGGGACAACTCTTGTCAGCAGTCGCTCGAAGCAAGTGGAGCATGTGGATAAAGTCCTCAGCCACGTAATGGTCTTCCTCAAGGAAGACTACCATACCTACAAAAAATAATGTCACCGATGGAAGTAGAAACACAATTATATGCATAACACCTGAGTCCTCAGGAATGGCAACGCATAGGGAGTTTTTTTTTTGTTTTTTTTTATACAACTTAGAATGGCAAACAAGCTGACGGTCCACCTGATGGAAAGTGGTAACCGTCGCCTATAGACATGAGCAGTACCATGGACATAACAGAGTATACTATTTCGCCCATGATACCGCCCATGTGTTGCCATTCCTGAGGACTCAGGTGTTATTCGTCTGTACCCAGTAAATTCACGCCATATCCCACCCTTCAAACCGAAACACAGCCAACTTTTCAAACACGCTCACCGGTTACGGGTACTTTTAATTTGGGCCTTCTTCAGCACGTCGCCTATTTGGTCGACATACGTCCGTCTAGGGCAGCCCCTACTGACATCTCCATTTTATATATAGCTACATTAATATTATAAAGAGGAAGGATTTGTATTTTTGTGTGTATGTATGTTTGCAATGAATAAACTCAAAAAACATTTTGTCGATATCAAAAATTCTTTCACCATTAGAAAGCTACATTCATCCTGAGGCATAACATAGGCTATATTTATTGCTAGAAAAGATTAGGGATCCTTACTAAAACTTTAGTAACGTAACTCAAGGTGTAAAAAAATGCTATAAAATATCTATAAAACTATTGGTGATAGAACAAAAGTATGTTCTACGACATTGAAGGAAATATCAATAACTACAAAAAACTTCACTATACTATATGTCCAACTATTATCGTTATGTCACTATAACCACTTTTTAAAATGTTGTAAAAATGTCCACCCGTGCGAAGCCGGGACGGGCCGCTAGTATATTATAAAAAGTATAGAAAAAGATATCTTACCAGTATGACCAGCAGTACACTGGAGCTGGTTGAAAATCCTATTGGCTTTCCACCACCAATGGTGTTTCGTCTGTGTATATTTCGCCTCTCTGTAGTGGCCGTGTAAATCCGGGTGTAAAGCGTTGTTGCATTTTAATTTTATAGCTCTGAAAAAACAAAAAAAAGGCATTTCATTATTAAAATGAAAAATTAACGAATGTTACCCTAGATAGTTAAATAATTATTTGAGGTAACTTTGAATAATAGTTAGGGTAAATTTTTTAAGTTGTAATAAGTCTGGACTGTTTGAAGATGATTTTGAACTTTGTGGTTGAAACTTTGTGATACCATATACCAGAGGGAGACTGTACAAAAGTCGATTGCTTGGGCACCTCTGTCCCATTTGTGTTTCAACCATGAAGCAGTCGTGTTTGCATAGCTGTGTTTCTGTTTGAAGGGTGGGATATGGCGTGAATTTACTGGGTACAGAGGAATAACACCCGAGTCCTCAGAAATGGCAACGCATGGGGGGTATCATGGGCCAAACAGTATACTCTGTTATGTCCATAGTACTGCTCATGTCTATAGGCGACGGTTACCACTTTCCATCAGGTGGGCCGTCAGCTTGTTTGCCATTCTAAGTTGTATAATATATATATGTATATATATATGTATATGTATATATATATGTATATATATACACATATATATGTATGTATATATATATATGTATATGTATATATATATATATATATATATATATATATATATATATATATATATATATATATATATATATATATATATATATATATATATATATATATAGATCAGTCAAAGTGGATAAATTATTGAGTAGTAAATTCACCATCCTATCCCACCTGCCAAATAGCTTGCCTTCCAAGCTGTATAGAAGTACAAATAAGCGAGACAGACATACCTACACTAAACAACCTGTACAAACTGTTTCTCAAAGGGGGGAAAGGGATTGTCAGTAATGAGATTTAACAGGCCTATTACTAGCAATATACTTCTCTTCACACTCTTAATGGTCGACTTGCACACAGTTACTCCTGGAAACTATCGTAGTAAATTTTTGACGAATTCATCACGACGGGCCAACTGATCTGCTTTCATCCTCACCTATCATCCCTCACTGGTGCCCCGCCAGCGTATACCGATAACACAGACGGGGTAACCATTACATTATTACCCATAATAGAATTGTTCCTCTACTGATTTTCTTTTTTTATTTAATTTTATATTAGCAATTTACATTCTACAGTACTTACTGTTCAAATTTCGCATCTCTGGGGCAGTCGTTTGGGTCCATACCGGGAAACTCGTGTGGGTGCACTTGTATTGAATACGGGTAAAATATTTGCATCACCTGTAAGACAAAATGAATGAATCTGCCTGTTTACTGTATAAATAATCTAATAGTATTATTCGAGGGCGAAGCAATAAACTGAGTCGTGATCATTTTGTATTGTTATGACACACGCATAAAAGAAAAAATTGTAATATTTTTTATTTTTATTTAACTCTTTGTTGCACCAAAAACATAAATATACAATGACAATTAAACAATTCAAGTGAAATACAGTAACATAAATACAGATTGAAATATACACATAAAAGTACAAAAGGTAGTCTTATTGTATTTGGCTTTATGTATTTTTTTAAATCATTTCTATCTCGCTTTTTATATATATATATCACAGATATACATCTGTATATCTGCGATATATACAAAAAGATGTATATCTATGTCTGTTATAATTTGTGTACTGTAAGTAATGCAAATAAATTATTTATCTTACCTAACCTAACTTAATTACTTAGACTTGTAAATGATTTAAAACTACACAAACGGACCATACAGATCAGGGATCATAGCAACATTAATTAATGTGGTTACCCCCTGAGTACGTTAGGGGGTAACAACATTAAAACTTTTTTAATCGCGTTACCCCGAGTTACTACTGTCCTTTGATCATTTATAGGTTAGATTTTTTTTATTTGTAATGATTAGTCTCAAAAAATACTCAGTCGATTTAAAAAAAAAACACTTATACAAAGCTACATTTTATCATAGAGTATCACGTTCTGTATTTTATTTAAAAAAAAAATTCGAAGCCGTAACTATAATATAATATTAATAAAAACAAGCGATAAATGTGGAAGTTTGTTTGTTACATCCTATCGCCTTAACAGGTCAACGAATCACTATAAAATTTGGTATACACGTATTATATGGAATGGGGATGGGCATAGGCATAGATTTTTCCTGGTCAGCGAACATATCCCGGATTAAGGGACTACTCACACTTATTCAACTCTATTCAGCTTTTGTACATAGAAAACAACGATTTTGCATGGAGACGTGTACGCATCCATTCAGCTTTCCGCGTCTATTCTGCTTTCGCGGCAATCCAGTATGAAATGAGGATAAATGTGTATTTATCATGCAAATGCTATAGAGAGCGTTCAGCGCTGTTCCGCCGCGTTCAGCGCTGTTCCGCCGCATTCACCGTGGAACACGGCGAAACAGCTCTTTACAGGGATGTTTCGCGACTCCTTGTCGACAAGTTGCGACCTGTATTGTTTCTGCATTGATTCGATTTATTATTGCGTAATCATTATGCATGCAAGGATTAAAGAGTGCAGACGCATTTTATATTAATTATAATTATTTCATTTTTACGAAATGCAGCATATTCAACGCCGCACACAGTAGACAAGCGTTTCAGCGGAGATAGCACGCTATGACGGCTTTTCTCATTCTTGCGACGCCGTACGCGGCTGATAGAAGCAGAACTGTACAAGTGTGACCAAAATCGTTCAACGAAACGCGAATGGAGCTGAATAAGTGAGTAGTTCCTTAACCGCTGGTGAAGGGGGGAAAGGGATTGTTAGTAATGGAGACTGAGAATCCCATTGCTAGCAATATACCCAACCAGGTCGACCTCTTCGCGGTTCCCCATGGAAACTATTATGGTTAATTCCTGATGAATTCATCACGATGGGCCAACTGGCCTGTTTTCATTCTCATCTATCACCCTTCACTGGTGCTCCGCCAGCGTATCCCGTTAGCGCAGGCGGGGTTACTATACCATTTTCACCCATCAAAAAAAAAAGCCACTGGTGAAAGCTAGTAAAAAAAAGTTCAAAATACCTTTGTGAAGTCAATACTTTTTACTAGATTGTTTATTTCCTCATCGTAATAGTCGTGAGAGAAAATGATCAAGGTTCTATCGATGTCCCGCGCCTGCGCGAGGGACACTATCAGGTGTCTGAGGTAAGTGAGCCGCGTGTGGACCTGCGAACAAAACTTAGTATCAACACTTAGTGTCTGCTGAAGAACTGTCTCGGCCGTCATACTCGCGAACGTTCCCGAGTATGACGGGTGAGCGAGATTACGAATCCAGTGCATGTGTGGAACGTCTCGTCGTATATATTTTTTGTGTATGCGATACGAAATAGCAAGTTGACCGCACACCTGGTGGGGAGTGGTAGCCGTCGCGTGTGGGGGGAGAAGGGATTGTTAGTAATGTGGACTACCAGTCCCAATATTAGCAATAAACCCTGTCAGGTCGACCTCTACGTGGTCCCCCCTGGAAACCATCGTGATAACGTTATACAGCCGTATAACCCTACCAAATTCAGATACAACCTGCTCGCATACTTTCTACATAAACTGCGTCGAATATATATATAATCTGGTAATGTAAAATTTGTCATTGACAAATAATTGACATATCAAACATTTTCTATACACTAGGCTGCTATGAATTGAGAAAAATGACAACTGACTGTGTATCTTACAAGCTGTACAAATCGCAAATTCGGCCCTACATGGAGTATTGCTGTCACTTATGGGCCGGAGCACCTAAATACCAGCTTGAACCTTTCGACTCGTTGCAACGACGAGCTATGAGAATTGTCTTAAGTTTTAGGAGAGATTTTGCCTCACTCTGCGTGTTCTACCGCCTGTACGACGGATTGTGCTCAGAGGAATTGTTCAATATGATGCCTACAGCCACTTTCTACCATCGTACGGCTCGCCATCGACAGGGAGTTCATCCTCATGTCCTACAGCCTCAATGGTCGCGTACTGCGCGGTTTCAGAGATGTTTCCTCCCACGAACACTCAGGTTGTGGAATGAGCTCCCTGCCGAGGTTTTCCCAAGAGACTACAGCATGGGGTTCTTCAAAAGGGGGCTAAAGAGGTTTCTTCAGGGTCGGCAACGCACGCGTAATACCGCTGGTATTGCAGGTGTTCATAGGCTACGGTAACCACTTACCATCAGGTGGGCCGTATGCTTGTTTGCCACCTCAGTGGTATAAAAAAAATCTTTCGTCCTCTTTTTACTAATTATATTTGCATAAGAAGAAATGAGGCAACCATATGATTTACAGTTTTTATTTTACTTAAAGATATTCGTACCTTGTACCTTGTTCCTTGAACATTAAGGGAACTCTTCAAGGGTTGGTAGAAAGAGTTAGCAGAATTGACAGTAGATTTCACTTATACAGTTTATAAGGTCCAAACAAATAACACAATCTTATATATAAAATTCTCGTGTCACGGTGTTTGTTACCAAACTCCTCCGAAACAGCTTTACTGATATTTATTAAATTTTGTGTGCATATCGGGTAGGTCTGAGAATCGGCCAACATCTATTTTTCATACCCCTCAATGATAAGGGTGACCCACCCCAAAATATTTTATTTTTTTGACAATTTTTTTTATTTTTATTTTATTATAATTTAGCATTGAAAAATACATACAACATAAAATTTTCATCATTTTACGATCAACTTCTGTATTTTAATTGCGATTTTTATATTTCGCAATAAGTGGTAAAACAACTTTTACGCGGTCAGCTAGTATGTGATACGAAATGGCAAGTTGACCGCACGCCTGGTGGCGAGTGGTAGCCGTCAAGTGTTGGGGGGAGAAGGTATTGTTAGTAATGCGTACTTCCAGTCCCATTGTTAGCAATATACCCACCCTGTTAGGTCGACCTCCACGTGGTCCTCCCTAGAAACCATCATGATAACGTTATACGACCGTATAACCCTACCAAATTCAGATACAACCGGGGGGAAAGGGATTGTTACTACTATACCCAACCAGGTCGACCTCCTCGCGGTTCTCAAAAGGAACACACAATAACACTTGATGTTTAAATAAAATAATATTTAAACCATCTACTAATTTTCTATTTTTTTATAATAAACGACAGTAACAACAATTGCTAGGCAACACACGCAATAGGTGTCACAGCGCATTTAAATTTTGGACAAACCAAAAAGTATTAACAATTTTATCATTCCTTCTATGCGATTCCTTGTTCTTAGCCGAAATGATATAATTAAAAAAGATCTTTGAGTCTTGGATAAAATAAATTTAAATAGGATAATGCAAACTTTTCTGTCAAAACAATCTTTTATGTCAAACAAACCTGTCAAAAGTCCGATAACTGTCAAAATATTGTTAATATATTGTCAAAATATCTAAATTATCTATCTATCTATCTATCTATTGTTTACAGTAAACAGTTTTTGATTTTTTGTACACATTTAGTGTTTTGTTTTTTTAATAAATTTATTTTGAAATGATGGATGAAGACGACGCTTCTAATGTCGTAAGTCGATTAATCATCATGATTAACGGCCCACCGCTGGGAATGGTGTCTTCCCATAAGAGAATTTACAAATAAAAATTAATTTTTAAATGTGAGCGCAAAACTCGAGAATCGAATTTGAGAACCACTTTCTTTATGAAATCGGTTGAAAGTAGCGTAACCAGGGGTTTTTTTAATGAATGATAATGGAATGGTAACTCCGCCTGCGCTATCGGTATACGCTGGCGGGGCACCAGTGAGGGATGATAGGTGAGAATGAAAGCAGGTCAGTTAGCCCATCGTGACGAATTCCATTAGAATTAACCACGATGGTTTCTAGGGGGACCGCGTGGAGGTAAACCTGACAGGGTTTATTGCTAGCAATGAGGAGAAGGGATTATTAGTAATGGAAACTAAAAATCCTATTGCTAACAATATATCCAGGTCGACCTCCTCGCGGTTCTCCCTGGAAACTAACATGGTTAATTCCTGATAAATTCATTATGATGGGCTAACTGGCCTGTTTTCATTCTCATCGATCACCCTTCATTGGTGCTCCGCCAGCGTATCCCGTTAGCGCAGGCCATAGCCAGGTTTACCATACCATTTTCACCCATAAAACAAAAAATACAATACCGAAATGTGGCAGCCCGGTTATCATCAAATGAACATAGATATCTGACTAATATTGACGGTGTCGAAATGGATACCGTTTATACCCTTTTCATACCGTCAAAGTCCAGTAAAATATCTAATATATAGACATACATACATACATACATATATATATATATATATATATATATATATATATATATATATATATATATATATATATATATATATATATATATATATATATATATATATATATATATATATATATATATATATATATATATATATATATATATATATATATATGTATATAGACTATACAAAAGTCGTTTGCTTGGATACCTTTGTCTCATTCGTGTCTCTACCGTGAAGCAGTTGTGTTTGCATGACTGTGTTTCGGTTTGAAGGGTGGAATATGGCAGTGAATTTACAGGGTATAGGGGAATAATACTTGAGTCGTCAGGAATGGCAAAGCATGGGGGGTATCATGGACGAAACAGTATACTCTGTTATGTCCATGGTACTGGTCATGTCTATAGGCGACGGTTACCACTTTCCATCAGGTGGGCCGTCAGCTTGTTTGCCATTCTAGGTTGTATAAAAAAAAATATAGATATTAAAGTGGTACAGTTCTTACCCATGCATTATTGAATACTAAACTGTTATCACATTATTTTTTATTTATTTATTTATAACTTAATAACTTAATTGACCAAAAAAAATATGCTACTAAAGGCGGTCTTAATGCTAGTAGCGTTCTCTACCAGTCGATCTTTGTGGTGAACAGTGGATCACGGACAAAGTACTACATTACTGGGATAGGTGAAGAGAATAACAACTGATAATGTATACATAAGTAGCGGCCCGTCCCGGCTTCGCACGGGTGGACATATTTACATTTAAAAAAGTGGTCATTAAGGCTGCACACGCGACGGAAGCTTAAAAATGGAGTAATTTCTCCCGTTTTCCCAACAATTCCCTTCACTGCTCTGCTCCTATTGATCGTAGCATGATGAAAAGTGTACTATAACCTGCCCAGGAGTATAAAGAATAATTGTACCAAGTTTCGTTAGAATCCGTCGAGTAGTTTTTGTTTCTATAACGAACATACGGACAGACAGACCAAAATTTTACTGATTGCATTTTTGGCATCAGTATGGATCACTAATCACCCGCTGATAGTTATTTTGGAAATATATTTCATGTACAGAATTGATCTCTCTACAGATTTATTATAAGTGTATAAATAAATAATATATACATAAATATAAAGAAATATGCATATATATATATATATATATATATATATATATATATATATATATATATATATATATATATATATATATATAAAAAATATATTTACAGAGTAAACAAAAGTCGGAATCACCACTACCTAGACGTCAAGCCAAGAAAATTGTCATACCGCGCCGAGCGCCATCTGTTATTATACCAAGACGACAGAGAGTCTTCACAACACTAGATAAAACTACATGTGTGGAATGCAACTGCTTTCCAAAAGAAGATCCTTATAGGAAACCTAAGTATTGTATTTTATCTATCTTCAAGCCGTGTCCCTTGTGGGGTAGACTAAGAGAACCGTGTATCAACTGTCAGATCAAACCCTCGCAGCCTGGAAACCATCGTGATTGAGTTATTGTTGAATTCGTCACGATGGGTCAACTGACCTGCTTTCATCCTCACCTATCATTTTTCACTGGTGCCCCGACAGAGTATACCGATAACGCAGGCGGAGTTACCATTCATCATTTTGGGGTAACTGACCAGCCTTTCCATCTTCACCTATCATCATTTACTGGTGTACCACTAGCGTATACCAACAGCGCAAGACGGATTAACATTCTCTCACAGATTTTTTTTACGACACAGGGGCAAACGAGCACGCGGCTCACCTGATGGTAAGTGACTACCGCCGCCCATGATCACCCACAACACCAGCGGCATTGCAGGTGTGCTGCCGGCCTTTTAAAAAGGAATACACTCTTGAAGATTATGATGTCGTATCGGTTCGGAAACACTACTGCTGGAAGTTGATTCCAAATCGTGGTCT